CACTCTTTCAGGAAAAAAACAAAGTTTTTTTTTTTGATAATCCGGAAGTTCACCGGGGTTTTGGCCCAACTACATCTCCCAGAGGACCGGGAAAGTCCAGGTGAATGTCCCTCCCCACGTTTGGGTTTGAATCCAGGGTGAGATGGAAAAACGACGTTATAATAACTCACCCGAACGTTCCCATGACACGAGTAGATACATGAGTATTGTTATCAGAAGTTAACTTAGCCAATCCGAAATCAGCCACCTGAAAATGATTTTTATAAACATTCGTCATCAGCTTGACGGTATTTATGTGACGTAACAAGAAACTCAACACATGAAATACCGATTCACCATTGCATCGAAGTTGAAGTCCAAAAGAATGTTGGCAGATTTGATATCACGGTGAATGATCCGAGGATGGCCTGCACGTACGGTTTGATTTTCTCGGACAAAGAAAATTAGGGTTTTGTCTGTTTCAAAAAACTCGGATGAATAAACTAGGGAACGAAACAAAAGATGTGAACGTACAGTCTTCATGAAGGTAAGCGAGCCCTTTCGCAGAACCCATGGCAATACGCATCCTCGTGGAGAAATCCATGACCGGAAGATTCTTTCCTGCGATACCCGACGCTTTCTTGAGATCCAAGAAACATCTATTATAGATACAATATCAAAGTTCAAGTTTTCAGACCATGGAGATGATGTTCCAAAGTGTTGTTGGGGACAAACTCGTAGACCAACATCCTCTGTCCATCTGCAATGCAGTATCCGACCAATGAAACAAGATACCGATGATGAACACGGCTAATGATGTCGACCTCCGCCTGAAACTCCCTCTCTCCTTGTCCACTTCCCGATTTCAAACTCTTGACTGCAATCTCTTTCCCGTCGGGCAAAACACCCTTGTGAACATACCCAAACCCGCCTTGCCCCAGAAGATTAGAATCCGCGAATCCACCAGTCGCGGCCTCGAGTTCTTGGTAAGAAAACGTGCTCTTGTTGAAGCCGAGGGCGAGGTTTGGGGAAGGAGGGGGTAATACCGGTCGAGACGGGCCGGAATACAATGAGTCTTCTCCATTGGTGTGGATTTGCGGAGCAGGTGGAGGCTGGTAAGGGGAGGGTTGTTGCCAATTCTGATAGTTCTTTGAGCCGCCATTGTTGTTGTATTCTGATCTTCCATAGTTATACTGATACAGGTTTCCTGCAAATCATAGATATGAATATCTGTGTGTGTATATATATACATATATGCGTGTGTATGCACATTAATATGTCTGTATACCTTTCATGGAATCACCGTAGAAAGAATCGTCTTTTCTCTTCTTTCTCCGTCGAAGACAGACAATTAGAACCACCAACATCAAAATCCCGGCTCCAACCACTACACCTGCTATGATCTTCCCATTTACCCCGCTGCCGCCGGAGGAGGAGGGAGATTCCGGAGAGCGTGAACCTCCATTGTCGCCGGAGGGTGAAGATCTTCCGGTGTCTCCAGATCTAGCCGGGGGAGAAGGAGGAGAGCCGCGGGAAGGTGGGGAATCGTTCCGATCTCGGCCGCCGCCTTGAGGAGGGGAAGGAGGGGAATTTCCGGACGAGGAGTTCGCCGGCGGCGGAGCTTGTGGCGGAGCGGGAGGGGAGGAGTCCGGTGACGGAGAGGAACCGCCTTTGGGAGGGAAAGGAGACGGCGGAGAGGAAGAGTTGGAAGGAGGAGACGGCGGAGATGAATCGGACGGCGACGGAGCAGCGTCGGGGGAAGAAGCCATTGCACGGAAACAGAAACTCCGCCTCTCTCCCTTAACCGTTTCGCGTTAGGGCTCAATTCTCTGTAAACATTAAAAAAAAAACCCAGATGGAATATACGTATCAAAAAAACTGAAATCAAGAAAAAAAATAGAGAAATTCCGACAACTAATTTTGTTGTCCAAAACATAACAGAAAGTACCAAACGCAGATCATGATCTATCTCTCTCTTTTTTTTTTTGTCGTTCGTAGCATTATTAGAGGATGTTTATACTAATAATGCGATTGAACAATGACGAATGCGGATCCATAATTCGTAAATGCATGGCCATTTCAACCAAATTATAAGATGAAGTGCATGGAGATTGAGATTATAGAGAGAGAGAGAGAGAGAGTACCTATGAAGAATAAATTAAGGGGAGGGGGGGAGTGCTGGGAATGAAAGAGAGAAAAGGAATTGGGGAAATGTCTTTTTTTTTCTCTTCTTTTTTGCATCTGGGACGTAAACGAATCTTAGAAAGAATGGTGACGAGAGCTGAGGTTTGTTTGCTTCATCTCTCTCCCTCTCCCTCTCTCTCTCTCTCTCTCGTTTGCCCGTAATAGGCCTCTGCCAAAATTAACCTCTCCCCATCACAGATATATCTAAAAAAAATATCTGAAAATTGAAAATTTGAATTTTTTAGACAAAATCCATGTGACCGAATTCGAGTTCCGACAGCAACGAGGTGGATAATAAACTTAAGCTGAAGTATCTGGAACCCAGAATTTAGATTCGGATTCCGAGATCTATAATTATATTAAAATACCCTAAAATCGTACAATATGCAATACTTGTATAAAAGAAAGATATCAATGTCTATATAAAAGAAGATTCCGAATGAACGTTCTGAGCGAAGCTCCCTCACGTGATTGACATCCTACCCTTTGAATAGGTCCCCCCACTCGCCAAAACCAATACAAAAAAAGGACCATTTTGTAGACATTATAATATACAAGGGGATTTAAATTAAAAAATAATAATAAGATTTTTCTTTACAAAAAGCTTTAGAAAACAATACATGAAAACAAAAGAAAATCCCCCACTTATAACATTGTGATATAAATTAATATGTTCGAGCAAATGTAAAAAAAATAAAACAGAGATATTTATATACAAGGTCAGTCAATAATATAAAATATCACTAGATTTCGCCCTCCACTTATAAATAAGTTTAATTAACCATTAAACCAAAAGGAGATTAAACTCATAAATGAAAATAAAAACATCCTAAGATCATCACTTCACATTTTTATAGTACAAAGTTTAACCAAATCAAACACTTTCTAGCTATTTCAGCAACTATATAATTTATACAAGGATCTCTTCCCTTATACAGTTTCAAACCTTCAAATATGTCACATTGGACCGTACAGAACTCCAGCCACAAACCAATCTAGCCAAAACTATAAAATATGCACAAATATTCCAACGATCTTGGTATGATTAGTCGGAAAGTTAGTTCATTACAGAAGTAGAATTTGTGACGGATTTTTTTATATATAAAGATCAATAGCATAATCATGGTTATACACAAATACATCTGCATCTCGTTCTACAATTCAGATATTTTTTTTGGCATCTGTGAATAAAAAAACATACATTATCTTCTATTTTCATTGTTTTTTTTAATGGACAAAGAAAGCGCCCGTTTATCGCTTATATCCAAAAAAAAATTAGACGCCCGTTTTTTTTTTCTTGTACTTGCTCAAACGGCGCCGTTTTCGTTCCGTTTCTTGTCACTTTCCCTGCAGAAAAGCATGTCGATCTCTTCAAGAGACTTCCCTTTGGTTTCGGGAATGAGGAAGAAGAAGAAGTTCCAAGCCACGGCAGCCATGCCGGAGAACAAGAAGAAGGCTCCGCCGGTGGTAATGGCGTGGGTCAGCGACAAGAACGACATCGACACGGCGGCGTTCGTCATTCTGTTCACCGCCACACCCAAGCTCGCTCCCTGTGCTCTGAGCTTCAATGGAAAAACCTCCGAGCTGTAAACCCATGTGATTGGTCCGAGCCCTACCGAGAAAATCGCTACGAATGAGTAGGCCGAGACGATGCTAAGGATCAGTGGCCATGCAAGTTTCCCTCCTGTGTTCTGAGCCATGGTTAGACCAAACCCTAGTGATATTAGGGCACAGAACATTCCCCCCACGCTCGTCAACAGTAGCTTCCTCCTCCCGACCTTGTCCAGTAGAAACGTGGCAGTGAAGATGAAGATCGTTTTCAAGAATCCGACACCTATCGTGACGAGGAAGAGCTTGTCCTTGGCCGTGACTCCGGCTTTTTTGAAGATCTTCGGTCCGTACAACAGCACGGCCTCGATCCCCGTCGCGTGTTGGAAGAAGTGGATCCCGAGCGCCGTCAGGAGAACCCTTCGGACCGCCGGAGTCGGTCGGAGGATCAGTTCCTTCCAGACATCCTCGCCGTGTGTCTTCTTGTTCTCGAACTTAACGACCTCGTCGTCGATCTTTTCGTCAATTCCTGCCGCCGATTTGATGTCCTTGTAACGGATCTCCGCCTCCTCCGGAGAGTTTGATACCTTCATCAGTATCCTCTTGGCTTCGCCGAGACGGCCCTGAAGAATCAGCCACCGAGGAGATTCCGGCATCTTCAAGATCCCGACAGCGAGGATCAACGATGGGATGGCGGCGATTCCGAGCATGAGCCGCCATCCGAGATGCAAAGGTAACTTGGAGAAGAAGTAATTTATCACATACCCACTTAGGATTCCGACACTGATGCAGAGATGCGGAAGAGAAGCGAGGAGTCCACGATGCGAAGCCGTGGCGATTTCAGCTGAGTAAACCGGAGCAACCATCAACGCGAAACCGACTCCTATACCGGCGGTACACCTCCCGGTTAAGAGAACCGAATAATTCGGACCCCAACCCATCAGAATGGAACCGAGCATGAAGAGAATGGAAGCCAAGACAATGGTGTAACGACGTCCGATGACGTCGGAAGTTCTTCCGGCCAGCAAAGATCCGACGAGAGCGCACAGGTTGAGAATTCCGGTGAGAATCTCGAGCTGGACGTCGGTCGCTTTGAGATCTTCTTCGATGAAGACCATAGCACCGCTCATTACTCCGGTATCTGTCCAAAGACACCAACCCATTAACATTCACAACGAACCCTAAAATCAAACATACGGGAAAGATCGGAGGAGGAGGACTCACCATAACCGAATATCGTGGAGATAATGGATGCGACAATACAGCATGCAAGAGCATACCTGTTGAGTTTCGCCGGCGCTTCGCCGGCGATTTTTTCCTCCATATATCGGATTCTATATGGGTGTGTGTATATATGTATATACCGAAACTATCATATAAATAAGACTAGGATATGTGTGTAGAGGTTTGTGGGAATTGGATTATGCCTTATGGGTTTGGTTTCAGTTGGGATGAAGGTTGTATATATAGAGATGGATCGTGTCTTGACACAGGGCATTTTGTTTTTTTTCTAAGGGTTGGTTAGGTTGTGTGTTTGGTTTCGGTTTTTCGGTTTTATGTTAGATCCGGTTTGGTTCGTTTTCGGTTTATATAAAAAATAGTTTTTTTACTATTTCATATTCGGTCAAGATTCAATTATTTTGTTTTGAAAAATTATATTCATTCGATTTTGCATGAGTTTCAATCCAATCTAGGTTATTGGATTCGGTTAATTTATACATAACCGAACCGGTCACGTGACAGTGCGAGCATCGAGGATAAAATTGAGGGGATCATGCCAATCTTTATATATTTAGAAATTAAACCATAAAGACAGAACAATCAACATTTTCTAACTACGGCCCCTTATTTACGGAAACATTACAACTAATGAGGAAAGAACCGGCAAACTCGGAGGTTTTTTTACTTGATTTGTCGTTCCAACCTGTTTCCTAATAATCTTTTGATTCGGATAAGATCGACATGTAGACTGTGTGTATGTGACATGTCTTATGACTGCCTGTATATTTTCTATATGTATCACTCTCATTTAATCTGTAATTATCATATGCCAAGTTGACACGTGTCTTTTTCCTTAAAAATTCGTATATTGTAAATCGTAACGTATCTTTAGATATTATGTCTATATACGGAGACAGATACATGGATGCATTCGTAAAATCTTCTGGCGTCAACGCATTGGTAAGTTTTTTATACGTCATGGGTCTTTTTTTTAGTTTTTTATACGTCAATAGGATTACATAATTATACTGCGAGACGCATCGAGGATGGATATTAATTTCATATGAAGTTTTACAAATATTATATGTAATTTTCTCGATATTCCCATCATATACATTTAGATGTACTCTATAAAATATAGAGAATATATATATATATATATATATTATAATGTGGGAACCCACAATTATTACCTTTCGAATTCTCTGTAATTAGCTGTAAATTACACGAGAGATATAAACCAATCTATATTGTTTAGTATTCAACCAGAGTTTCCATCAAATATATATATTGATATATTATTGTACTCTGATAAACCGATTTATAGTTAAAAAACCTAGAGAGAGAATAAAATTCAATGATATATTTAGGTTTGCCAAAATTGATTCCACTTATATGTAAATAAATCAAACGGTTCATTTAACTAAAAAAAAATAGTTACGACCGCTGTAATTGAATTGGATGTATGGATAATTCCCCCACAATTATATAATCCTAGTCCAAATATACATGGATGGATATATAATTGCAAAACAAAAACGACATGAAGGATATATATAATTTGCAAAAGACTAAAATGATATATACTGATTGAAATCTTTATATATATATATATATATATATATATTCTCCTTCCACCGTATGTTATACATGATTCCATTACTTGATCTCAATGAATTTTTATTTTCATGCATTATATTGTATTATATGCAATATTTTTTTTAATCATTTATCCAGGTATACAAATTCCAAAAGGGGCGTGATTTCTAATTCCACTGGCCTCGTAACAGTATAGATATTCGGAAGGTAAACAAAAAATTATAAGAAACGAATCTTTGTCTAAGAGATGTTGGAATTCAATTTAGAAAAGACACACATACATTGTAATAACATGTTACAAAAAGATTATCCAAGAAAACTATATTATATATTAATATCACTTATCGGATTAAACCCAAGTAATTATGCGACTTTTGCAACTAAGAACACTATACACATACGAGGAAGGGATGGCTTTTTGCCACCACTTGCAAAAAAACTTGGTCATATACTATTATTTTCCATGTGAACGCTACAAGTATTGCTTTCAAACTTAGGAATTCACGAGCTGTAACTCAGTCCAATATTCAAACAAACAGAAAATTCGTATAATTTCAACCGTAGATCAATAATATTACTTTGGAGTAAACAATAATTTTGTAAAATTGAATATATATATATATATATATATATATGTATGGGGTGTATATTGCTCCCAGTGGAGAATGACAATCAGAAAGTAAACCATCAGAATGTTGTACAGTGGACATGGAGCTCGTGCCCACGTTTTCGTGTACGATAATTATTTTTGCTCCAACACCAATATCTTATTAAATTAATATTACATTCATACAAAAACCGTATTGACACGTATGTATATACGTACACGTATATATGAATGCATATCTCGATCTTGAATAAAGAGGTGATGATTAAAAAAAAAGGATTAAAATACCATGCTTCCAATATTATAGCAGTTTTCATTTAATTGCATCATCGATTTTGTATCTTTTTTAATAAAAAAAAAGTTTCCACTCCATTTATTAATGGCGAACAAATGATCCAAACAAATCCAATTTAATCCGCCATATCTCGATTTGGACAATGAAATTTTCACCGATTGGAATATTTGATTTTAATAATTGGGTACACATAAATGCACTGAATGATTAAATTAATGTTAAAATTTTAAAATCATATTGACGAAATATCGGTCTTTCGAAGAAGAAAAAGATAGTGCTAGGGACACATTTGGTGGACAGAGACACATCGATATATCTACAATTGATAACTTGGGCAGGTAATATATATATATATCATATTATTTCTCATTATATAATATTCAAAACATTTTATTCGAAGTTGTTACTCCCTTCTTTTCTAAATAAATATGTTTGAGATTTTATCACAATTATTTGAAAAGTATATAAAAAGTCATATATGTTCTCATTTTTTCTCATTATAGAAAAACTCATATTATTTCTCATAAAATTGCGTCCGTCGAAACTGGCCGACTGCTTGTGGGTATATATAATTATTGCATTTTTTTTCTATAGAAAGAGTTCTTGAAATGGACCGCCATCATTTTCTTTGGATTTCATACACATTGTATGGCAATGGCTGGTTGATATATAATACAATGTATATGGAGCAAAAACTAGTTGGATATATACTAATATATCATGCATTATTATTTGTAAGAACAAAATAAAATTAATATCCCAATAGGGCATTTAATTACTCCTTTTTTTTTCCAAGTTCCAAGTTATTTACGATTTCAAGGACATAATTTTATTCCAATTTGTTACTCCCTTCTTTTCTAAATAAATATGTTTGAGATTTCATCACAATTTCTTAAAAAGTATAGAAAAAGCCATACATATTCTCATTCACCGACATCTCATTAATACTATATTAAAATTAAATATTTTTAATTAAAGTAAAACTATAAATTTTATTAAAAAACTTATCTAAAAAATCTAAAATGACATCTATTGAGCAACAACAACAACATCGTCTCATTCCGAAATTTATTTGGGGTCAACCGCATGAATCCTTCTTCTCCACTGGTTTCGATTCTGGGTTAACTCTTTCAGAATCTACAACACTTCCAAATCGGTTCTAAAGACACGCTCCCCAATAAATCTAGGTCTATCTCTTCCTTTCTTTCTCACCCCTATACCTATACTCTCCACTTTTCTAACCGACACACCTATCGACCTACGTTGTACATGTTCAAACCATCTTAAACACCTATCCCCTACTTTCTCTTCGATACCTATTACTCATATTTTCTTTCTAATAATCTCATTTCTAATTCTATCCATCATTGTGTTCCGCACATTCATCTCAACATCCTCATCTCGGTCACATTTATTTAAGACATATGTTGCAGTTTTGTCGCCCAACGTTCGCTATCATACAATAATGCGAGTCTTATGACGGTACAGTAGGATTTTTCTTTCAGCCGTAGGGAAACCTTATGATCATAAAGAATCCCGTGGCTTGTCTCATTTCATCCATCCCGTCTTTATTCTATGACTAACATCTTAATCGTAACCCCCTCCTTTTGAAGGATTGATCCAAAATATTTAGCAATATAAAAAATTCTCTAAATCGAAATTTATTAAAAAACGGATGGAATAGATAGTTTTTTCAAAGCTTCCATGCATCACACTACATATCATATTATTTTTTAATTTAAGTTAAAAGAAAGAAAGAAAAAGAATAAAGAAACAATTGTTCATGAATGTGTGTATGGTGGTTTATGGGTCTATCATGTGATGAAATCCAAATAAAAACAATGGCCCAAGAGAAAGAAAACCCCACAAAGTTGCTTGAAATTAAACGGGAAACAAATACCCAAAACCAAAAGACACTTCGATTCTTCTAAAAATTATCATTTTTATTTCAAACTGTCATCCAAGTAATTTGATAAACAGACTCTAACAACTACATCAATTATTTGGGATGTATGATTTCTCCTCTTTAATGTATAAATTTTAGCTCTAAACCGGCCCTAAACCGGACATCCAAATACAAACACTTAACCGGCTAAACCGACTACACTCATCTTAATAATCAATTAAACGCGTTTTGATCTTTTTCTTTATTGAAGGAGCGTTTGTGTTGTAATTCAAACGCCGTAAAAAGTAAAAAGTGATATTTCCGTATCTTTTTATAAAATAAATAATATTTTCATTGAACCGGGAAACCACATGGGCTAAAGTTGATTTTTAAAATTTGAAAAAAAAAAAACAAAATGAAGAACGAGAAAAAAGCCAAGGACTTTTTCGAGGGCATGACTCATGAGAGGATGATGTTGTCTCCTTGGATCCCCCCGATGGGAGCTTCTTCTTCTTCTTCCCTTTGACTTTTTGTCTTACTCTATCCATATTTTTTTTACAGTCTTTTTTTTTTTGCGGAAAAACCCCGAACAAATACAAACCGACCATAGGATATTGTGGACTCGCAGTATATATGCTAATAATATATGTATGTTAATACTTGAGATAATTGCGTTCAATAAACTATTATTATCATAAACGCGAGATTTCTGCCACAAATACAAAGCTATTTTATCTCCGGTGTTTGCTTTACAAATGTTCAAGAGGAGGAGAAGTTTGAGTTCTACATGAACATTATTATAAACATTTAAACATTGGTATATATATCATATTAAAATTCTTATAAAATTTAGATACATTTTTTTCTGATATATATTTTTACTATAAAAATATGAAAAGACTACTATCTACACAACAATGTTTGAGGCATCCGCGAGTATTTTTTTGGAAGAATTGATAAAATGAAACCAAAAATAAATTTGTATGTTTCTTGATTTTTGTGGTCAATAAACACTGCTATGTTTCGAATTCAAAATCGACAGTTTATATATATATTTTTTGTGAAAAATAAAATATATTTGGACACATGCTGTCTTTAGCTCAAAGGAAGGGAAGCGAACTGAAGCCTTGGCAGAGTACGTTTTGTAAAATCTTAAAAATAGAAAATTTTAAATTAAAAAAACAATGTATAAATATAATAGAGGTCAACGTTTCGGTATAATTATTCAAAATCGAATCGAAAATTTCAATATTATCTTTGAATCGAATCCTCTAAAATTTTTGAAAGACTTTTTAGTTTAATTTTCTTGAAATGGAACCGAATTTTTAAAAAGTTCAAAAAATAAAAAATTTCTTAAGAAAATAGTTATTCTTAATAAAAACAGAAACTACACGATATAATAATCGATTAGTATATGTGTTTTATAGAATCAACAAATTGAATCGAGTAATTTCTGAACCGAATATCGAAACAACCCGAGTGTATTTATTAAAACGCTATCAGGCGAACGCATCGAAATATATAGTCAGTGTATTTATTAAAACGCTATTAGGTTAGTGCATTATTGATTCGATATTGGATTAAACTAAAAATCAAAACAAGTATCTATTTTCTTTCGATTTCGTTATTACAGAAATGCAATCATCATCAGTATACATACGGACACTTTAGCGTCGATTGATATCTAGTATCCAATTATTGTATAACAACAATATATTATATCTACGTCTCCTCTCAAATATATTTCAGTCTTGTTTGTGATTTAATATGCCGACGACAAATTTTGCAAAAGTTGGTATTTTGTATTTTAATACGCTGAACAACAATATATTATATATAGATTTTGCATCTTAGCATAATATATTTTGTAGTTTTGGGATATATGTATAATATTATTTGTTAGTTGGTTGGCAAGCATATGTGGACCGTCTCCTCTAATCATAGAGTATTGTCAAAGCTTAAACAGTGCAAGTACACTAATAAATTAATAATGCATAATCAGTACTGATGACCGATAAGATTCTTTACTAATTTGTTCATGAATATTAATTAATTAACCTCCGAAGTAGAAAAATAATCAAATAAAACTAGCTAAAGCTCTTGTATAATTAATTAGTGGATGCCCCTATTTAAAATATTATAAAACAATTAAAAGATCGATAAAATGGAAAGAAAGAGGATCAAGATCATGACTATAAATTAACCAAAGCTTTTCGTCAGACGGACACAACAACAGTCTTCACTTTAACGCTGTGCGCTTTCTCCTCCTGTTCCCACACAAACAAACAACCTCATATCCAGACAAAAAAAAAAAAAATGGCGAAACGTTTCAAATTCAAGATGTCGAGAATCTTCCTCTGTTTCAAATTCTGCCGTTCAAAAGACCCATCTTCTCTCCCGGTGGACCCCCACCACCGTCAAGATCCGGCGAAGCCCCACCGTCGATCTTCCTTCAAGCGCCACGTGTCGTCCGCCTTCGGCTGCGGCATCTCTCGCAAGAACTTTTCCGACGTCGGCCGTTCGGAGACTCCTCCGTCGCGGGCGTCGACGCCGAGGTTCCACTGGCGAAACGAGGGAAAGTGGCACGTGATGGCCAGAGCAGCACACGAAGAGGAGGAGGAGCGTCGCCGGAAAATATACCACGGCCGTAGAAACGACGGCGTTTTAACACGCCGGGACGAAAAACGACAACGCGTGCAGCAAAAAACGGCACGACGTGCGCGGCTGAGCACGTCATTTGCCGACGAAAGTGCCGAAAACGACGACGGAGACGAGACGGAGAGCCTGATACCGTCCTCTAGAAGCTTCTCCGCCGAAGACTCCTCCTCGGACGCGCCACGTGGCACAAGGCGCAACAAGAACCGCAGAAAGCCGCCGAAACGGTGCGTTTCGAAGAGGAGCAACAGTAACAGAGCTTCCTCGACGGAGACGGAGACGTCGCCGGTCGACAGTTCGCCGTGTGCAGCGGCGGTGGCGGTGGTGAAGAGGTCGGAGGATCCGTACGAGGATTTCAAGGGGTCGATAGTTGAGATGATCGTGGAGAAGAAGCTGTTCGACGCCGCGGAGCTGGAGCAGCTCCTCTGCTGTTTCCTCGCTCTGAATTCACGGCGACACCATCGCACCATCATAACCGCATTCTCAGAGATCTGGTCGGCGCTGTTTTCCGGCGACCGGAGCCGGCGACCCTCTACTGTTAGGCTCTCCGACTATGTATGATATTAATGTTAAAAAAATAAGTAAGCCCTTGGTCGGATTTTACTTAATTGAATAATATATGGAAGCATGCAACTTCTATCTCGAGTGAAATTCTCTAATCTCTTGTGGGCATACGGCCACACTCGCACCAGAGCCTACTTCAGCGTTTGACACGTGGACGACCAAGGATGGTTGGTGGTCACGTCATCAGTACTTTTGACTAATCGAACATCGAAATGACAAAATGATTGAAGGGGCAAAAGTGTAATAAAACAAAGTTACCAATCGATATATATATGTGTGTGTATATATGTTTGCAACTCCACTTATCATTCTCTCGCTTTGTCCGGTGGTGTGAACTGCGATCCCAATCTTAAAACTCTCGCAACGTACATATCTCTCTCTCTCTCTCTCTCTCTCTCTCTCTCTGCATTGATTCAGGGAGATGGGTCCATGATAACGTGAACAGCACGTCAATTTTGCTTCAAACTGGTGTTTTTCTTTTTGTTTGGAGGGTAATAAACCACTGAAGAGGCAATAACCAACTGACAAAGGCGTCAGATTCAGAGATTCCCTACGCAAAGAACACTGACTCAGTGACTCGGACAAGTCACCATCTTTCTCCGTTTCCGATAAAGCCCGACGACATCAGAGAAATCTCTTGCCACTGGATCATAATCTGAATGACATTCTGCGTAATTTCGTGTGCTGAGAAAGAGGTTCTGCAAGGAATCTTTCGTGCAGGAACCCGACAGAGCTCAAAAGTCAAAAATTGAGATTACTTGTTGTGCAAGATAGGGTTTACATATGGTCGTTTCATATGGGCATTTGGAGCAGTCTCTAGAAAAAAAAAACACAAAACTAATGTTTCTTGGGCACAACCCACCAACGAACGATACATGGGTTTTTTTTTTAATCAAGCTTGTGGTGGTTGAGGTGGCATCGACATGTGATGATGATGATGATGCATGGGAAGACCACCCACCATTTGTTGCGGCGGCCACACGTGCTGGGGCGGTCCCATCGGCAGCGGAGGCCTTGAACCAGCTTGATGATGAACCGAGGGAGGAGGCGGTGGCATGGCTTGAGGGTGCGGTCTGAACTGCATAGGGAGGCCGTGTGGTTGTGGCTGAGGCGGCCAAGCTGTTTGAGGTGGTGGAGGAGGATAAGCGGCCACTGCTTGTGGGGGCGGTGGTGGTGGTGGACGGATGGCTGGTATCGGGACAGGTGGCATGTTCCCATTGGCGAATGGCCGAGATGGTGCACCATTGGGTTGAGCAGCAGCATTGGCAAGTGATGGAGGGCCACTTGCAAATAGGGTATGGGGTCTGCTTTTCTGGGCATTTGGATTGTTGGCAGCTAAAAGCCTCTCTGCATCACAAACATGTAAAATATGCAAGAAATATCTTTTATGGATCAAAGTATAATACTGTCCAATCTCATACTGTCGTACATATATAATATATATTCCATTCTGAGAACCAAATCTAACCTGCAGGGGTACCATGCCGTTCTCCTTTAGTGTCTTTCTTGTATGCATATGAGGCTGTTATTTGCCGGTTACAGAGGTACTGGCCATTCATGGCCTGCAATGCCGAAAACAAGAACAGATTAATACTACATTGGATTAGTTACGGAGCTCAGACAGGGACTGTACATTGGTTTAGTACTGTGTATTCTATAATCTATACTCGATAAAGCTGCATATAACCATGTTCTGTAATGGAAGATCATACAGCCACATGGTTTCTAGACACGGAAACATAACATAATACCTCTATAGCAGCATCAGACGCCTCGAAAGAATCATAGCTGATGAAACCGAAACCTCTCGAGTTCCCTGTATCAGGATCTCGCATTATCTGAGACAGAAGATTATTATTCCCAAGTATCAGAATCTAAAGTGCACAAAAAATCTTCCCCTTTAAAAGGATGGGGAAGAAATGATTGATTACTAATACAGTTTACTCTCCAACCTCCAGCAGGAGATAGATAGAGATCAAGATTCACGAGGCAAACAAAAATTTTCCATCCAATCAGATGTTTAAGAATCATATAAAATCAAAGATCAGACCTTAGGATTAGCAACAATGACTCCGAATGCACTGAAGGTATCGTATAGCAGTTTCTCATCCACATCCTGTATATCGAAATCGGGTGGGTCAGCTGAAAATCTAAAAGGACTCAAAAGACCAGCAATGGCAGAGAATATGAACAAGATACTTACAGGGTCAAGGTTTCCGATAAAAAGGTTAGCACCGACATCCAAGCTCTTCTTATCTTGAGATGCCTAGAAACATTTTCCGACAGGGATCAAACTATTAGAAACTTCTATGCGAAAGTAAACGCATCTCCACATCAATCTGATACCTTGTTAACACGTATAGGTTTCCCGTAAAGCTTAATCATGTTCAGAACCTTAATTGCCTGCAAACAAAGCAGATGGAATTACCATTTGCTATGAAGAGAAGTGAATTCTTCAACATAGGTGGTGGAAGTGGAAAGCATTGGCAGATGAACTCTACAAGCAAACACTTACATAGTCAGCATCCTCCTCGCTACGGAATTCAACAAATCCATACCCTTGATGAAGATTTGTCACCCTATCTTTCGGGGCATACACATTGACTGCGATGATCAGAATTTCGGGAGCTAAGTCAGAATAAAGAACCGACAAGATCGAGATACTCTACCAAAGAAAGTTAACCAACAGAAAATTGCGGCTTTTCAGCTAAACACAACCATTTCAAATCTACCCCATGGAACCTAAACAAGATATTGTCCAAAAAGGGGAATTAAAATAGATGAATTTTGATCTCTAATGTGATTATAGAAAGAAAATACAGATAAAGAAAGACTTATGTGACTATATCCAACATGAACTTCATGTAGAAATTGGATCTTGCTTACCTACGGGGCCGGCTTGAACGAACAATTCCCACAGCAACTCTTCAGAAATCTAAACTCAAAAGGCCACAAAATAGCAACTTTACCGAACATTCATCGATAATCAGAAATCAGAAAATGTGGGGGGAAAACCCACGTCGAATCATTTCAAAACTAAATTCTACTCTTTAGCAGAGACACATTTGTAAACAGTTCGTATATACATACATACAGAAACCCCAAAAGACCCACGAACAAGTTTGCCAGAGCGAGAAGGAGATGAACCTGGGGATCGAGATTTCCGACATAGACAGTAGCGTCTTGGTTCCGTTCAGCGGAGTGTTGGCCAAGCAGATTCGCTCCAACTCCTGGAGCTATTCGGGTTGTCATCTTATCTTTCCCCTAATTTCCTTCTCTTGTATTTCGCCGGGAAAATCTCCCGGAAGAATCCGAGATTCTTACTGCGATCCCGTCTAATCGGCGGTCCAGCGATTTCTCTAGGCCGGAACGGGGAGGAGGGAGGAGGAAGAAGAGGGTTCAAGCGATTACGAAATTCATGGGCTGAAACGTTGGGCTTTCGGTGATCAAGAGATTGAGCCTTTTTGAAGGTCCATAGGCCCTTTTATTCATCCCTCGAAATCGTTTCAGGTGATTCATCTGTTCTACACTCTGAAGCTTTACCGGAAAATTTATAATTTTTACAAAATTTAAAAATTATAAAATAACGCTCATAATTAATAGTTGATAAATTTTTATAATAAATTTAAATTAAAGTATTTTTAATATGAGATAGTTGATGCAGAACAGTGTATCATGAATCATTATGAAAGAGAAGAAGCTCATGAACTGAATAACAAGAGATAAATGTTCCAAACACAAAAAATCTTGATGTATTCTTCTAACACTTAGCTTTTACAGCTTCGCACCTTATGAGACAAAGCAAGAGGCTTTTATAACAACCTGCATGCTCAATCATGGTTTTGTCAATGTCTTATAAGCTCAAGCAGCACATAAGAAAAACCTATTGACTCCATAAGCAAGTCCTTTAAGCTTTATGCAGTAGCTTCCTTTCATTGATCGGGAACCGATGATTCAGCAGAATCCGATGCAGTACTCTTCTTCAACCCAAGATTCTCCTCCAATTTATTCCACGCATTCAAGAAATTCGGGGGGAATTTCTTCCTCACTGTCCTCGCCAGCCCTTTCGCATCCTCCATTTTCTTCTTCCTCACCAACCCTTCAGCCAAATGCTTCAGCGTATTGAAGTCGGGAATCTTGTGCATTGACACGCTCTTCTTGAACACCGCATAGCCTTGTTCATATAACCCATTCAGACACAGATGGAATATCAATGTCCTAAACGTTGCTGCATTAGGGCAACACCCGAATTCCTCCAGTCCTTCGTATACCTTCTTCGCTTCATCCATCATTCCTTTCTGGCAATATGCAGTCATCAGATAGTTATAGCTAATTGTATCGGGTTTCAGTCCCACATTGCTCATCTGTTCGATCAATTCCTTAACTCTTTCCGGGCTTTCCTTTTGAGCATTCATGACACGAACATTGTATGCTGCAACGTCCAATTCGCAGCCTTTCTTCTCCATCTCCCTCCACAAGATCTCTGCTTCCTCGACTTTCCCTTTCTTATACAAAGATCCCAAAATGGTGGTAAAAGCAATGATGGTGACTTCCACGCCTTTGCCCTCCATTTGTCTCAACGTATCCAAAGCCTTCTCAGGCGAGCCCGAATCGCAATAAGCCTTAATCAAAATGCCGTAAGAGATTTTGTCAGGAGTGATATTATACCTCTGAGGAATTTCCTCGAACAGTTGGGGGACTCTGTCGAACAGCCCAGAGTGGAGACAAGCGGTGAGAAGGGCGTTGAAAGACACAGCTGATCTGGGCGTGCCGAACTGTTCCATCTGCTCATACGTCCTCAAGGCATGATCAAACATGGCGGCTCGGCCGTAGGATCTAATGAGGGTCGAGAGGAAAGGTTCTTCCTTGATCTTGGGGTCATTCTTGTGCGATTCGACCAGGGCTTCAATGTCGGTGAACCGGCGCGACTTGGCGAGGCGGCGAACGGTGAGCTCCTGGGCGTAGCGCGAGGAGACAGGGGACACGTAGTGATCGGAGACAGAGGAGTAGATCTCCAGGGCTTTGTCGGGATCGTGTACTTTCCTGAGTTTTGATTTAGCTTTGGAGACAGAGATTGCGGCGGAAGGCGTCGACCCACCGGCGCTGGTCGCAGCAGGAGCAGCTGCGGCGGCTGAGGAGAGGCGGCGGACGCGACCGAGACACAGGCGAGAAGGCGTCATAGCTGCTTCGTCGCGGTGGGGAAGTGAGATGGGAGACGGCAGGAAATATTGAGAGGGGAAGCAGCAAAGCGACGGTTTTTAGGGTTTAAGGCTTGTAACTACGATTGGGTTTAAGACCTCGTCAAAATAAAAGACGGATGTATTTGATTCACAGACAGGGCACGATGATCATTGATCGTTGACAGTTTGTGTTTAAAAAATAGATTTTTTAAATATTACATATTGGCGAGTATTTTAGGGGCAGAAATGGATTATTAATATATTATGGATGTGATACTGGCATTGCCTTTGACGTGTGATATTGGTCTATCTCATCTTGGGGGGTGCCGTGAAGGTTCAGATACCCTCTTTGGATCCGACCGCTCGCCCGACACCGTCGCAGCCTCACTTGACCCCTCGGCCGGGGATAACCCTATCTCCAACCCAAGGGATCAGGCTCTTGCCATCACGAGCCTCATCTCTTACACGTCCTGTCCCCAAGACAAGGAATATCCAAAATTTCGAATACCGCACCACCACTAAGTATTCTCCCGGGTTAGACATTGGACATGTAATGAGCAAAATATGGAGAGCAAGGGTTTTGAATCTTTGACAACAAAATTACAAGGCACCTTCTCATGTGGATCCTCCTGTCTCAACAGCAAAATAAAGGTGTCGATAAAAAGCAAAAGCACTTCACTAAGAGAGAAATGCCAGATCCATTCGGCTCCGGACAACTGAACTCTGGTTCTGTTTTTCATTAGGATTGATAATCACCTTGTTCGAACTTGTCTTCGGCATAAAACACAGCCACCACTTGGTTCCCACCGAACTTCCTCCCGTTCATCCCCGCTCTCGCCTTAGATGCTCCCTCTGTGTCCGCATACTCCAGAAAGACCTTCACATATATAATAACATCAATCGCTTCTCATATACTTTATTTAACAAAACATTCTCAAATCCTGATTCCCCCACATGATTTTTTATTTGGGTTTCTAATAATATTATCTCACTTGATCGAATTATACATCACAGCAAAAAAACCATGAGATCCCTTTTTTTGTTTAAAATGAAAGGGAAAAAAAAAGCATGCAGGTATGGTTACCAACCTTGCCTACGCCTGGTATTGGCTCGCCACTCGGACTGGGGCGAGGAATCACTACTTTGGTCAATGCACCTGTATGTTTTACAGTTAAAGTTTCGAATCCAACAGAAAAAATGAGGCAGAGATATTTCTTTCAAGAGAGGGAGCTTCAAGTGAAAATAGATAGGAGGTTATGGATGAAGGTCTCCTGTCTGTGTTAGGTTAGAAGGGGCTGATTCTTTATAGCAGAATCGTGGGACAACAAAAGGCTGTAAAACAGACACATTCAACCAAGAAAAACAGAGATAGATAAATATGCTTCTAATCTTATCTTGACAACATAACAAAAGTGAAGTAGCCAAAAAAAAAAGGTGAGCTTTGGTTCTAATGCCAAAGATTTTCTTACCAAACTTTCCACCTTCTTGTCTCATGTCTTCCATTATATCTTCATACTCCTCGTCATCCCTAAGCTCATCCTCAGCAACAACCTGCGTCAGGCACACGACTTTGGTGGGTGCAGTGGCAGTGCCTGGTTGTAACATCATCCTCTGAAAAAAAAAACACCATCATTTTGACTGATGATCAGTTCATTAATAAGAGTTCAACAGAAAAAGCATCAGTCTTTCATTTCCCCCAAACAACAGAAAAGGGAAATCAAGATATTAAAAAAAAAGTTTGACCTGCAAAGCAATCTGCTGCTGTGCATGTAACAATACACTCTCCTGTTCAGGTTTTGGTTGCATTGTTCCCTGGTTAGCGCGTCTCACGGTAAGAGTTTTATCTCCCATTTTAATTCCATTGAGGGCTGCACAAGCAATGTCTGTAACAGAGGTATCTTGGTACACGCAAAAGGCATATCCTTTCGAGTTTCCGGTTTCCCTGTCTTTCACAAGGTCAAAGCCCTTCAGGGCTCCAAATGACTCCAACAATTCCCTGACTTGGGCCTCGGTAAAATAATAGGGAAGCCCACCGACAAAGATTCGGTCTGGACCCTCGAGCAAACCGGTAGAGCCTGGAGTCAGACCAACAGCAGCCAAGTTTAGATTCGGACTGGGCTGGCTCGGACCAAGAGTTGCGGCTAGAGACGGGTTATAGTCACTAGGTCTCCTCACCTTCACTGGAGCTCCCTGTAGATGAAAACTAATATTGTTAACGAGCCTATGTAATTTCAACCCTCATAGATACAGTCTAGCCCTTCTCCAATGATTAGAAGCATATTTATTTCACCCAGCTACATAACCCGAATACCAATGAAACAGCAAACTTATAGTTTAACCAGCTATAAGTACCATGGCAGCACATAAGACATACCTCGAATATAATCCCATCCAAAGCCATTGCATTACTTGCCTCTTCGACAGATCGCATCTCCACAAAAGCAAACTTCTTCTCATGGTTTATGTACACATTGACAACAGCATCACCTGTGAGCATTGATTAAACAAAAATTTCAACAAGCCTCTCAAAAAGGAACCCGGTCAACATTTGCAGTTGAATCACATACCAGGGCCAGCAGTGTTTCCACCAATCGCTGCCATAACCTGGCTAAAATACGTTGCAACGGACTGCAATACAGGAAGATAAAACAGCGTGAGCATCAAATGCAAGAACAAGTTTCAGGAAACGAAAAGATGATAAGTGAATAGTAAACCTGTTCATTGGCTGATGGGGAAAGCCCACCAACATATACTCTGCGAGCATGTCTAGTAGCCTGAAGATATACACCAAATGAATAAGTGGTTGATATGGACAACTCATTAAAGAATTTCACATACGCTTTCGTAAAGTTTTCCCCAACCTGCTGCGTCATAGCCTGCACTGGCATCATAGGAAGTGCACCAAATGGCTGCATGACATAGAAGAAAGGAAAATTAGTTAAGGAAAGACAGATCAATTCTATCAAGGTAAAGAGCACAGACCTGTCCTGTTGTTAAGGGGAACATGTTTGGAAACATTCCGCTCCCAGGAATAGCAGGGTTTGCAACAGGAACTTGACCTACACAAAGAAAACATGGTAATACACCGTTACAACTATGTGCAGAGCCTCTCTTTATTATTTTTGAATTGAGAAGACCCAGGTCACCCTACCTGGAAAATCATCAGTGGTATCCAGAGGTTTTAGTATATAGGGTAATAAAAAGTGAGGCAAGACTATATAGAAATTCTCAGAAAACATTTGCAAGACCACAAATCCAGTGATATGTACTGGTTGAGGATGTGCAATACCCATAAAACCACTGTAGGATTTCTTCCTTGTACAAAAATCTAGAAGGACCATCTCACACCGACTGTCATCATCAGAGAGGGACTAGAAACCCAACATCGCCTTCTCAAAACTCAAAAGAAAGCAAGCAAGCAAACAAAACACCAAGAACACAAAGATGACCAAAAAGCTCTCAGTCCAGTATTATATATCCCGGGTCTTGTATACAGCTCTCAGTTTATGTCATAAGCAGACAACTCCTGATTACATCTTATAAAGCTGCCAAGGCAAATACAAGAGAAACCAGGACTTACCAAAACAAGTACATGAACTGGGCATGAATTCTACACTAAACCAACATATTCCAATAAGAGGGTACTAAAATGCAAAAGAAGGGATTGGAGGTACATCTACCTGTGACGGCAGTACCAATAGTACCAGCAGCTAACATTGCAGAAGCAGGAGGTGCCATATCGAATCCACTGACCCGTTTGCTGCAAGCAAATAGATGGCATAAAAAACACACTTAATAACCTTAGAACAGCATTAAATTAAACTATTAAAGAGAGATGGAGCTGGAACAAACAAACAAACATCTTTTCATGGTTTGGTAGCTCACTTTCATAACCATATCATATCCACTCTTGAAATACTAACAGGTAGTTCCCGGCAAGAAAATTAAACTACCTCTTTGATGGTGATCGTGACCTTGATTTCCGATCAGATCTATCCTTTGAACGAGACCTAGACCGGCGGCGACATCTATCTCCCCTATCCTTCTCGTGATCTCTACGCCTGAAAAGCAAAATGCCAAATTAGTATCTTCTTCTAAAAGATATAAGAACCACTGAACTGGTTCCGTTTGAAGCATAAAATGAAATGTCTTTGGAGAAGTCACCTGTCATAATCACGGCTTCTACGGTAGTCATCATCATCTCTATCCCTGCCACGTTCTCTTCTATCACTGCGTTCCCTACTATGATCCCTGTGACGACTTCTGGAATGACGATCCCGTTCTTTGTCCCTGTCCTTTTCTCTCTCCGAACCCTTTTCTCTGCTTTTCTCTCCCTCTCTGTCCTTGTCCCTGTCCCTGTTACGATCCCGGTCCCTCTCTCTGTCCTTATCTCGCCCCTTCTCCCTTTCTTTTTCTCTACTTCTGGAAGATTCTTTTTCGAAATCGCGCTGCAGAAGGAAAGCAACTCATTGTTACATTCGAAGAAACAGGAATAATTATCCAGTAGATGCATGATGAAACTAAACCTGAAGGCCCCTACCCTATATACATCAACCATTCCACAGCAGACTGGCTTTCCGACTAGCATAAAACCAAAAGCACTCAAACCAACATCGATCCGAAAACACACTGACTATAGATTCCAGTAACTTAAACTTCATCCACCTAATATTTAAAATTGCCCTAAAACAACAATCGTTTAGGCTGCATGGCCGAGTGGTAAGGCGGGGGACTGCAAATCCTTTTTCCCCAGTTCAAATCCGGGTGTCGCCTCAACAAAAGACTCGGAATCCCCTACTCTCGGAATCCCCTACTCGCAAAAACAAACGGACACCCAATCTTGAGTGAAAGAGATACCATCGCGCAGTAAATCAACAAAGCCCAAAGTTCCCGCCTAGTTAAACAAGCACGACCACCCAAAAAGCCCTAGTTAAAACCCAACTACACGTTTTCGCACAGAAACATAACTATGAATGTTCCAAGAATAATATCGCATATACCTGAGATTTGGAGTCTCTATAGTCCTCAGCCGCGCCGCCGTCGTGCAGAGGAGGAGAATAGCCCCCGCCGAAGAGATCTTCGACGGCGGTCCCGTTGCCATCGTGTCCTCCTCCGTTGTCAATCATCTCTCTCGCTGCAACAATCTCTCTCTCCCCGGAGCTTCTAATGAGATATTTTCGACCTCTGGGAACTTTGCTCGATGTGGAAAAAAACTCTAGGGCAGCTTTGATTTGACGGCTCGATAGACACGAACCGGGGTATTATCGAAAATTGACTACATAATTCCCTGCTCGACCAGACGGTTCGGTTCGGTTAACCGGTAACCATGGCAAAAACTCAAGTTTCAAAGGGACAATCACATTCAAACCGGAAACTGAAATCCCAAAGATGCTAAACCGAATTTGGTTGAGATCATTGCTAGCTCGTGTAATTGTATTACAAAAACATTGAAAAGAAAATCATAGGACAATTTCGTCATATACTCCGAACCAAGCCGAAGATGCTTTCTCGAATGTACGGACACGGCCCGGAAAAAAATGTCGGAGGTCTCATGAATGGTACGGTACGGAGAACCAAAAACATCCTTAAAGACAGAATCTGATTCTTACACAAGCAAAATCCCCATCTCAATGTTTCATCTATTATGTACTGACGTGTCTGATCCACGTCAGCAATCTCACCTCGCAGTTTGTATACCCCAGGTACTGTTGTTGGATTCACAAATGTCATTCATCACCTGTAAAAGTGTAATGCCCACACGAGTTATGTTACTCGTAAATGTCACAATACTAACATATATACGCGCCCCCCTTTTGTATAATCAATATGCTTGACCAAAAACATGTCATGTACCCTCTTCCTTTTCTCAAGGGTTATCCGAAGAATGGACGTAAAATTCGTATATAAAAAAAAAGCTCGAAAACGATTATTAGAACAAAACACAAACCTTTTTATACTCGTTGTCTGTCAAGTCCCGGCCAAGTACCCGCAGGCAAGCCACCTTAACATGATCCTTCTTAATCCTCGCACCAGGTCCCAATCCGCAAAATAGATCGATCACCACTTTCCTGAAGAAAGGGGCATGAGACAGAATTAGAATATAATGAAAAAACGTAGAAAAGAACGTTATTTGGGTAAAAAATGTTACCTTAAAGGATCATATTCTGGATGGTCGTGTGACGACTTCAATACGTAAGAGCCATGAATGTTCACAGCCACTTCACTTATAACTTCTTCCAGCTCTTCTGTAGGAGCATCAGCACCAAATGCTGCATTCCTTGCCATATTGGTATCTGTCGCCTTTGGATTATTTGCCTTGGACACAGCCAGTTCCCTAAGCCCTTGGCATATCATTTGGAAGCTAAAAAAGAAACATACGATATGATTCCAATTACCCAAATCCAACATTAAAGATCCGATCCTTGATTATGATAACGAAATCCCGGATCTTACCTGCAAACTTTGTGAGTTTGGAATACCTCTTTCAAGGCCTTTGGTAAAGCCCTCCGAGTTTCCTCCGACATTGTCCTTCGAACACGAGGCGCAGGTGGATTTCTCGTTGGACCTTTCTCAGAGTGCACAGCCGTCTGCGTATTAACAGTCGGGATAGGTTTTGCGCTGATATTTCTCCTGCCATCTGTTTTACCTTTCGCCCCTTGGATCAGTGGCATAATCTTATCTTCGATCGATTTCCACACCACTTCTTGCTTCTTAACGATATCCGGGTAGCGTTTTATGAAGGATGTATCGGTAGCCTCCTTGAACTTCCAGTCGGACAGAAGAGATCTATCTTTGGCAAGAGTTTTTAATAACTCTTTCACCCTTTCTTTATTTCGACCAGCAGCATCAACTTGCGAGTACTTGATAGTTGTATCCTTGCTGAACAATGTCAGGACGTAATCCCTGGCACCTGCCATGGGGCCATCTAGGTTTAGTAACCTAGTTCTCGGGGTCCACCATCCTTGAACTAACAAGGCATGTTGTTGGAGGACTCCCAAGACATCTTCATCCGAGTGATCCGGGGCATAATGCTTAAGAACACTATACCGAAGTAGTGGAGACCCCTGGGATGATGAAAAAAGTTTGGGATCCATTAGTCAGATGAGTTAAGCTAAGATTTTTATGTTTCAATTTCTCTCCAACAACATGTAAGCAGGATTTAGATTTCAAACTCATTGGCCCATGAAATTTTGATGTAATTATGTAAAAAATAAACAAGAACATGAAACAAAATGCAAGTACACACAAAAAAACTTGTCCAATAGGAACGCAATGCCATTTAATCAGCCACCAACCTCGCAGAGCAATTGTTTTACACGTTCTTCCAGTGACATAGAGAGGAGGTCCCTGAAAGTAAACAGTTATATAATCTAAAAAAGTAGGAAGGGTACTTTTTAAAACAATGACACATTACAAGAGACTATAGATCAATGACGCGTGAAAATGGAAATCCCAGGACAGAAAACAAGAAAAATTGTACCTCCGTGATTGACTGTTGGATTTAGAACTTCTGCTGCTTCCTCCAGGACACAGCGAGTCGATATAATCGTCCCTTTAAAAAACAAAATTCCAAAGAGCAATCAGAAGAGGTCTAAAGGTAGCCGAGTCAGTTCTTTTCAAAATAGTGTCAGGAAGAACTTTGTAACAGGAACGATATCATACGGGCTCATATTGAAGTCTATTGAAGATCTCTCCTTTGTTATCATTCCCTGAAGGTATCTTGAAGAAAATTCGCTATGAAGATACTTGTGTGTAACCCAGCTCTAAGAAAGAAGAAAATCAGCAACATAAGTACACACCAGTCATCCACCATGCAGTCAGGAGAGAAGAAAGGACCACATAAACAAGAGATGTTTATTTTTTTGCTGTACTAATGAAGATAAGGTGATGAAACTTTCTGTCTTTGATTAAAAGAGGACTACAAAGAGGGAGCAAAATTGAGAGCTAAGTTCACAACTCACGGACTACCTTCTGTTTTATCAGATGATGAAGCAAAACTAAAAGCTGAAAGTGACAATAACAAACAATGAAACAAGAATTAAACGAAATCAATTCTCATACCACTTCAGGAACTGTTTTCTCCTCTGCTGAAGACTGCATTCCCTTGTTCTGCCAGGAACGAAATGGAATAAAGACTCAAGATTGAAACCATACCAAAGGTGTGGCCCACAACCGGACTTGATTGAACTTCAGAGTTTATAGGAGGACAAGAGAGGACGTAATCGCTAATTTGTCGAATAGAAAACAAATCTAGACGATAACCATTTAATTCTTGGAAACTTTTAGGTTCTGAGCTGTACCATCCTTTTTGATGTCCCGACAGATTCTTCAGCAGTTTGTTTCTTTTTGCCCGTGGACGATAGACACCCTATGCATGGCCGGAGCTGAGCAACGGCATGAACAGGATTCAAGTGTAACTGCATGTCAAGGAATCTGAACCCATTAAAAAAGTTAAAAACACAGCAGCTGATCTGGGCATGTCCAAGAATTTCCCACTGTAGTGCTTCAATAATCAAAACGAGGAAGGATTAAGGAAAGAAGATTTGTTACAAGTACCTCATCACCAATAAGAACTCCAACAGCATAATTCAAGGCAGGAGGCGGCCTCCATGTGGTTCCCAAAGTCTAACAATATCCAACAGACAAGATTGAACTTCTATCAAGGAATCAAAATCGCTCCAAGAAATTCAACTTGAATCAAGTTTGAAACGAAAAGCTAACCTGCTTGGACATGTTAAGCTTGCTCCCGAAATCCTTGTCGTAATTCTCGGAGTGGACATCGATAGACAAATCAATTTCGACTTCACAAGTAGAGGGTTTTACCCTCACCTAATGATTTATAAACAGACAGAACAACTAACAGCTCAATGCCGATGAAACCAAGAGAAATTACGGAGAAATCCAACTCGGCAGAGGCAATGAATCAATACACCAACCTCCTCGCATCGCTCATTCAAGTCATACGCACGCCAGGAGGGTCTGAGGGGAAATTGTATAACGTACAGCTGAAATTGCCGACAAACAGGCATCAAACAAAGCTCTAACTATGGTAACTGCAGTAAGAATGACAATATTCTTCCACAATCAAACCCAATGATACGCATACTGACCTTAGTGTCGGAATCAATGCCAGGGTTGAAGAAAACGTCGATTTCACGAACAACCGCGTCTTGTTCTTCTTCCTCTTCCACCGATATCTGCTGTTCGTGGCGATCTTCATTAATGGGCTCAGCTTCCATCGACTCAGATTCCTTGTCCACTTTAGAATCAATCTCCATTTTAACGGCGCCGTCGTATACCGGCGGCGGTTCAACCTTCGCCGGCGGAGCATCCGCAGGAGTATCGACGTGCGACGGCTTCGGCTCCGCCTTCACAGCGGTTTCTTGCTTCGGTTCTGATTTAGGTTTCGGTTTGGGCTTACCGGCGCGACCCGGCGCGAATTTCCGGGGTCGAGCAGAAACTTCTCTCGTTCCTTCTAGTTCATCAAGGTCCATGATTCTTCCAACTCCACCGCTTTCACACGCACGAGAGTATTATCTCCGCCGGAGAAATCGACGTCGAACGGCGACCCTGCGGCGGAATCACCGGAACTGTTAATACTGACGATGGCGGCGGTAATCTTTAAAAACGATCGGCGGAGCACCTGTATTTATATCCCTTGAGAAAACCATTCTTAAGATCTATGGGCTTATGAGTTAGGCCCATTTTCGGCCCATATCTAATGTACGTTATGTACTACGTTTTCGGAACTCCCTTTTTAATTTTCAACACGTGTTCTATTTTATATATATATATATATATATGGTCTATATTTGAAAATAACACAAATGAAAACTTTCCTCAATATATAATCATCATCTAAACTTAACTTATATATATTCTATTCTATATTTGAACTAACAGAAATGAACGTTTTCCTCAATGTATAATCGGAATTGTTCTCAAATAATTAAATCACCTAAATTCAATAAGATTTGTTTTCTTTTGAATGCGTTATGATTAAATATACTAACCTCATAATACTTTATGCACAAAATATTTTATTATTTTATATTGTATCATATGAGCTGGCACACATTTATAGACAAATTCTCAAGATGATGAACTCTCCATTATTTTCTTACATTGACCCACCGAAATGAAAAAAAAAAAAAAAACCCTTAAATTAAACAACATTTTCAGCATATTACGTCTCCAGACATTCTTTTATGGATTTTGCTCCTCCATCGGAGACGGTTTTGGCTCTCTCTCCGCCGCCGCCTCTTCTTTCCGACGCTTCTCTTCTTCTTCTTCTTGTCTTCTTTGTCTCTCTGCTTCTTCCTGTCCTTGTCTTTGTCTCTCTGCTTCTTCTCTTTCCTTTCTCTGTCTCTCTGCTTCCTCCCTCTTAGCTGCCTCCTCTTCACGTTTTCTCTCTTCTTCTTGCTTTCTTTGTCTTTCTTCTTCTTCCTGTTCTCGTCTTTGCCTCTCTGCTGCTTCTTGTTCTTGTCTTCGTTGCCTTTCTGCTTCTTCCTGTTCTTGTCTCTCTCGTTCCTCTCTCTTAGCTGCCTCCTCCTCTCGTTTTCTCTCTTCTTCCTGTTGTCTTCTTCGTCTCTCCGCTTCTTCTTGTTCTTGTCTCTGTCTCTCTGCTTCTTCTCTCTCCTTTTTCTGTCTCTCTTCTTCCTCCCTTTTAGCTGCCTCTTCCTCCCGTTTTCTCTCTTCTTCCCTCCTCTCTCTCTCCATCTCTTCTTGTCTTCGTCTCTCTTCTTCTTCCCTTTCCTTTCTCTCTCTCTCCTCCTCCCTTCGTTTCATCTCTTCTTCCTCTCTCCTCTCTCGCTCAGCTTCTTCCTGTTGCCGCCGCTTTTCTTCTTCCTCCCTCCTCTTCCGTTCCGCTTCTTCTCTCTCCTTTCTCTGCCTCTCTTCCTCTCTCTTCCTCGCCTCTTCTTCCTCTCTCCTTCTCGCCGCTTCTTCTTCTTTCTCCCTCTTCTTCCTTTCCTCTTCTTCCTTCTCCCTCTGAATCTCCTCTTTCAGCTTCACGAGCTCTTCCTCCGCGCATGACGTACACTCCAACATCACCCCATCCTCCTGGCCACCCAAAAGACGATCAACCGTGACATTACTCACGTTCAACGCTACCGCCATTATCTCTCTCTTCAGAACCTGTAAAACCGAGCTCTTCCCAGCTAAGAACCGAGGATAGTTCCTCCTCGCCGACGTGCTGAACCCCACGAACACAAACGAGCCGTTGTTGAATGACATCTGAGCCATCGGATGAAACCTAGGCACTGCAAAAACGTCTCCTTCCCCGACCATGAACCTCCCGCCGCTCTTGCACTTGCTCTGTTTCATCATCTCGTTGCTCGAGCTCACCACCCGGATCATCCCTTCTCCTCGCAACACGATCGATATCTCGCATGCCCTCGGATTCCAATGCGGTCCCACCATCGATCCCTTCAGAACGAGAGACAGTGTATCATATCATTTCATATATGACGATTTGTCGAGAAAATGAGGTTTTATAAACACCCTTTTGAAGTGGTGTGAAAATCTAAAATGGCGTATAAAGTACAAACCTTTGTTAGGTTAACCATGAAAACTCCGACACTAGATCCCTTCAGTGCGTGTAAATCCTTCTTGCTAACAGTGATGCTCCGACCGTTGCAGTTCTCAAAGTCTGGATCTTCTTCGAAGACATTGTATGTTCTTGTCTTCTTCTTCTTAACCCTACTGTTTATTATCAATTCATCGCTATCCTCTTCCCTGACGAAGATTCTCAGGAAACGTGATTGGATTTGCCACAAGAACTCGTCTGATCCATGAGTTATGTTCTTCGGCATACCGTGTACGATCAATGGCGGCTTTGTCGCGTTCCTTATCGTCCCGATAACCTCTTCAGGAACCTTCCACACATCGTAAAAATCATTCAAATGCATGGCATGTTGAAGTGTAATTAGTGAACAGATTCAGATTATGATTCGTGTCCGAAGAAAGCATATATATACCGCAAAAGCTGACCGGAGAGTTCTCTCGTCAAAGCCAAGAAGAAGCTCTCTAATACTTGAATACGGCCCGAGACATGGATCCTGACATTATCCAAGAATTCACCATGAAAACAACAAAAAGAGCGACAAAATCTGACGACAGACAAACGCGAAAGATTATATCTTACGTATATGTAATCATCCTCACTAGTGTCGGAGAAGATTGCGTAAACCCTAAGTTTCTCTCTAATTTCCCTCTCCAGGTTGCTCCGTACGTAGAAAACCGTACCGGGACGTAGCCTGTAAACGTCTCCTCGTCTTATTTCGATCCTCGTCTCCTTGTCTTCGTCGACCCAAGTGAGAACTCCACTTCCTTTATGATCCCAACACAACAATTATATAGCCTTCAATTAATTTGTATATTTTTAAGCTGGAAACTAACTTATAATCCCAAATGGGTTTTAAGCAGTGGATGTATACATGCATGCACGATGATAAGACACGACATTAAACACATGCAGGAGTTCATAGAGTTTCGGACATTAATAGGGATGTACCTGTGTGTACGAAGAACACCATGTCGGAGTGAAGAAGAAGAGGAAGCAAGAGAGAATTAGGCTCCAACGTTATGAAATGTATAGAGTGGGTCCCTCTGATTCCGCAACCGTCGCTGATCTCAACGGCCGAGATTTCTCCGAACTCCGTCTCGACGATCCTCGTCCGTTGATCTTTCCTCACCACCGGTAACCCACATGCCACGGCGTCGTTTTGGACGGAGGCCTCGGAGGAAATCAAGAGCGTGAGGAGGAGGAGAACCGACAGTGGCAGAATCGTAAATTTCTTCATCTTTTGAGCTCTGTGTTTCGTTCTATTAGGCATAGCGTATGAAATGATGAGATAATATCATAGAGGGAGGATGGACCATAGTCATGTCCACGTGTCGTGAAGGGTAGACACGTGCATGGTGTTGTTTACACGTGGCAAATCCTTTGTTGACGGATTGGACCTGTAAGGCTTATATTACAAGACCGGGTTATGAGATCGAGGTGACATTATTTTATGTTTCATTCCCATTGGGAATGTACGAAAACTTGACATGCATAAAAATGTCACAATTTAATTTACACGGGGCCTGACATAATACGTGTATGGATCCTACTATATAAATGCACATATATTTGCTAAATAATTTGGGAAAAATCCCATACGTCGACATCCATCAGGGTGTTACAGATTACAACTTTGAAGTTCATCTAATATGGGCCGGGCCATATAATTCAAGATTTGGGCTATCCTCCAGGGCCTTATGAAAAACTATATCCATTTCTATTTTATTTTATATTAATTTCGTGCTATTTCGATTTCTTTTTAAATTTATTCCAAATTCGATTTCTGTTTCAGAAAAAAAATATTTTATTTTAGTTTCAATTAATTTATTATATAAAAAGTGGATATCACTTTAAACATGTTTATCGAAAGTTATAATATTTCTTTTAGATTTTTTGCAAAATGCAATTTTCTATCATCTTTTATCACTTTTATTTAGAGTAGGGGTGGGCATAATATTTGAAAAAACCGAACCGATCCGTTATTTGATTCGTATTCGAACCGAAAATTCGATCCGTAATTTACGGATCGGATACGGATATTGATTTCAAAATATTTGTCGGATACGGATCGGATACGGATATTAAAATAGAATTATCCGATCCGATCCGTATTTTTTAGTAATATTAATAATATTTGATTAATTTGGTAATTATTTTATATATTGGGGTAACTTTGTAAAAAATAAAAATATGTTAGGGTTATTATTGTGTTATCATTCTTCTACTCCATTTGGCCGTCGTCCGTCCCTCTCACCTCTCTCTCTCTCTTAAACTCTGGCATTTGAGTTTGTTCATCTGAGTTTCGTATTTATGTTCATTTGTCTTCTAAGCAAACTATGCACCATTGTTTTATTTTGTAAGCAAATTTCTTTATCTCAAGTTTCTATATTTTTCCAAATCTGGAAATTTCTTTATAGATTTCTAACATTTTGAGTTAGAGAATTTGAATAATCTGCAGTTTTGGTTTGAAGATTTTTTACTCTGATGAGTATAGAAAAATCTGCAGTTTTTTATCGGTTTAAAATTATTCATCGAATTATTTTTCTTCGAAAATTTTGTTATTTTTCAAAAGGATTGTTTTTCACCGGATTGTATTCGATTCTTTTTTATTTTATTTGCATTTTTGATTTTTTTTTTTATAATGTTTGTATTATTTTTTATATCGGATACGGATATTCGCAAATATCCGCAATTATTACGGATATCCGAAATTACGAATATCCGAAAATTACGGTTCGGATACGGATACGGATATCTCAAAAATTCCGGATATCCGATCCGTGCCCACCCCTATTTTAGAGTATTCAGCCAACTCAATTATACGTATAAAATGCACTGTGAATTGTCCAAGGCTGTGAAATACATGGGAAGTTTTCGTGTTAAATTCCATAATAAATTTTAGCATTTTTTTCTTTTAATTATTTTATATATTCCACGTGTAATTTACTGATATTCAATTAAAAAAATATTTTTTAAGAGGGAAATAATGTAGGCATGAGGTTTGACTCCATGCAGAAAAATTCCGAACCAAGTTGACAACCTGATTATGTTGGCTCATGTCAATAGCACAAGTTGGGAGGAACAATATTAGGAGAATATCTCATAACCATTGGCTATGATATGATTACTACTATACATCACATTATAATATATATATATATATATATATCCCACCTTATCATATGTTATATGGTCCTCAACAGTCCACATATATATATATACAGCCGGCTCCTAATAGTGTAACCAAGGCTCAACTATATAACAAAAACACTATTTTTTTCATGCGTTTCATCCTATTATAAAAATTATTATTGTAACATTTTATTTTGTAAAACATGGTATTATATATCTAAAATATAATATCGGGTTTAAATCAAGAGAACTATTTCCTCTTTAAGATATGATTATCAACCCATTGTAACAATATATATATATATATATAAGACAATGGAAATGAAATGAATACGCACGTCATCATCTGTAATAATACTATAAAAAAGATTTATCGTCCTCTTGATTAGATGCATAAATTCGTATCCAAAGTTAGTCACAATCTAATCATACTATTATATGTCATAAAATATTTTAATTTTCCAAAAAAAATCAGACGTGATAATTGAACACTAAATTATTCGAAACATTATTTCCTATAATAATATCGAAAGGGACTAATTGAAAAAAAAAAAGGTAAAAAAGTAAAATATTCTCTCGGAGGATAAAATACCGAACGTATCCCCAATGGAAGAAAAGCTCGTAGTGACTACTCATCCATCCATTACTTTCTATGGTCTTACGGGACAGAAGATCCCCTCTTCCTACTGCGTTTCCCTTTTTTCCTTCTTTTCCAAGTTTCATATTATATCTCAAATTATTGAATTATTGATATCGAATGTTATAAAAAAAATATATATCATGATACAACATTACATATATATATAGGGGAGAGGTGAAAAAGGGGATGGTCCGACCCAACTCAGTTAGTCTGTCCCGATTTTAGATTTTTTGAACGAAACTTGATTCGCCCCATTTTTGGGAGAAACAAAACTTACTTGACTAAATGCGTTTCACCTTAAATCATGAACCAAACGAATTGACTCATCAGTCAAATATCTTATTAAAAAATAAAAGTTATATGCTAAAAATATTATAAAAATATTAAAAGATAAAAAAATAAATAAACAAAACAAGTCAAATATCTATTAAAAATATAAAATTATTTTTAATTTTTTTTTTTATAAAAAATTCTGACTCGTGGACCAGTTTTTGATTCATCGAGATGGCTCGACTCATAGCAAGTTGCTCATTCGAACTATTTTTTTTGCTCAAATTTTCTGAACTCGACTAAAAAAAAATAAAGGATGATTTGCGAGTCGACTCGAAAAAAAAAAACATAGGATGGTTTGCGAGTCGACTCGTGAGTCTAACCTATTTTGGCACACCAAAAAACATATAATTTTTACTTTTATAAATACGTGATATAGAAACCTAGACTAAATAGTGATTTTCTTGTTTGAAATATTTCTATATGATGAAAAGATTGGAGAATAATATATTTATCCTATATAAACAAGTGACATAATTTTTGATAATTTTATATTTTAATATATAAAAAAATTTGAAAGAAAAAAATATGATGGTTAGAACAAGTCTAAAGGAATACCATCATATGTTTTTTCTTCTTCTGAAGTTTAACGATAAAAACTTCGAATACACAACGTACATTGATCCACCGCATGAATATATAGATCAATGCTGATCATTCTGCATCAATCATTACTTACTGATTAATTGCGACTGATCTCGTTGCTTTTTTTTATTTTATATTAACGTTATAATACATCCAAAATCAAATCTTTTGGCTATCTTTGTAATGCATATCACCTTTCTTATATATATATATATATATATCTGCCATGCCCTTTGGGAGTGGGGATTTATTTAATGGAGACAATCTTTTTTGTACATAAAACAATAGAATCTTCTCTCTCTCCAAACCCTGCTTTGCTTTTGTGTGCTTCAAGCTTCTCTCTTTTCTCTGCTTCATCGATCGTCTGTGTGCTTATATCTTCCTTACCACCTAAGTATTTGACTTTCCTACCCAACTCCATGTTTATATATATATATATAATATGATTCATAAATATAAAGTCATATGTATCTGAAATATCGATCGATCCATTCTATAACCTTAATTTCGATCCAAATAATTTGGTTTGGGAGAGTAAGTTATCGTTAGAAACTTAGAACCATCAAGTGTAAGATTTGATTTCGGTCGAATACATACGTAAATATACTAGGTTCCGTTTCTCATGCATTTTTTTATATAAAAAAATAAATAACGAAAAAAAACACACGTACTTTTAATATCCATCTAAACACATGCAGTATAATGACCATAATTTTGAACCATAAAATATATATTATAAACTGTACACCTTATTATATATATATATATATATATAAATGTTTGTATATATATATTAATGTATCATTGTTTAGTCAATTTCCTCATCCTAAATTTTTTTTAGAGACGATCATCTGACTAATTGGACATATTAAATTTCATTTGATCATGTTTTATTTAGATCTATTCATTAGCTGATGTAATATTTTATACAGATTCGAAATTTGAACTTATAAATCCCCAATACAGAAGAAGGAAGAAAGAAAAGTTTGGAAACGGCATATTTTCCGTAATAAGAACCCAACATGAAGAAAATTTGGCAAGTAAAATAAGACTTGGGAATATATATATAAAAGACATGATTGATTGACGGGTCGTATAAATATCTATCACGTGTGTATAAAATTACTTTTTTTTCTACCTAATAATCTTTTTTATTTATATTCATCTGTGATTACCGTTTAATATTGAAAGATTTCATCAAAAAAATATTGAAAGATCCATTTTACCAATTATCCAAAATATTGGAATACGGATGAAAAACAAATTTTAAATGGAGAAAAAGAGTGAATTTGAAATTTGATTAGATATAATTTTTTTTTAAAAATACATTAATTTGATTGGATTTGAATAGAATTGTATCCCAAATTTTTTAACGCTTGTTTTTAAATATAATTATTTGTAATTCGAAATGAAATAAAAAAAATATGTATAATTTTTGTTAACAAAAAAGCAAAACCAACAACTTAAAAAATGTGATGCGCCCGATCTTAATTCGATATAATGTTGTTAATTCTTTCAATTCAAGTATAATTGGATATAGAATTGCACATTTTATTATTACTGATTAAACTCTCTCTCTCTCTCTCTCTCTCTCTCTGGATTTGCATAAATATTTCGAGAATTAGGATATTCATTGGATCCCATGTTTGCAGGAAGCGTTCACACGATCGACCGAATTAACAAACTTAATTTAAAGTGAAAGTTGCGATCAGCCTAATTAATAACAAAAAGCCACCACCGAAATTAACTTTTTTTTAATTCTGTTTATATATATATATATATACACCCCCCCCCCCCCCCAAGCCCTATTTATTTCTCTCCCGTAACAATCATTCCAAAAATGCTTACTTTAAGGGGGGAATTGCAAAAGGGCGGATGAGTGGACACCACTCTATCGATAAGGTGGAACGTTACACGACCCGAATTTTCTAATAAAGGAAAACTTTTTTTGATAAATATTTTAAACTTTTGTTCTACCATGCAATTTAAATAAATAAAATTTCAATAAGACCAGTTAAACCTCTTTCCCACGATGATACTACAAAATCATTTGCATGCAGCGGCCAACCACATCTATCCATGATTAAATTTCCTCATTAAATATTTAGAATTTACAAACACAACGATCAAAATAAACCCGATTTTTTATTATACCATTCGACGTACTTCTAGTATGCGTATTTGTTATAAATATTGCGTGTGATAAATGTCATTATACACACATGCGATAGCACTGATATATTTATCGTTGTTCTACAGTGAAGTTCATTCATGCATCTAACAAAAAAACATTTTTTTTCCTTAAACAAAGAAACGTGGTTTCGATTTCTAAGACGTCAGAAAATCAATCAGTGAGGAGAGAACATATTCCTTCCCTTTCGTTTCCGAAAAAAAAAAAGAAATTATAAAGAAGAAAGGAAGGTAGATGGTGGGCCACAGTGAACGAGCGTGGTTTTTACGCGCTCTGATGGTCCGTCAAAATCTAATAAGGGTAAATCGGTAAATCATAAGGCCCATGGGCCTCTAGCCACATATCCCGACAAATCTGCTTCATGTGGGCCCAGGTGGGCTTTTTAACATGGGACCTACTTAAGTGAGTGCGCCGTTGCCTTTTTACCGTTTACTTCGTCAACACACCTTTAAGGCTTTAACCGATCTTTGTGAATTCCTGAAATGATACTCTGTTTTTTTTATAAAAAAAAAACAGTACAGTACATGTCATTTATAAAAAAAAAAGAGTATATGTCACAGTATGCCAGCATATGTACCAAAAAAAAATAGACGTGATAATATATCATGTATTTTTTACAAAGCATGTATGAAGAATAGACATAATTTTGATTGTTAAATCATATGAAATTCAAGACGTATAAATCTTTGTATTGAAATCTATATATACGGCCTAAATCTTAAATACTTGTTTTTTGTATTAAAAAACCAATTAATTTTCCTACGAGAGAAATAAAGACATGCGACCATCGTGGCATTGTCCCTGCCCAAACTCTAAGATAAAAAGCTCGCAATCATACCTTCCAAAAAGCCCTCCGTCTCTTCCTCCTTCCTTTCCAAACACACACAGAAAGAGAGAGAGAGAGAGAGTGAGAGAAAATCTTTCTTCTTCTTCGTCTTCATCGTCACGAACACTAACTTCGGCTCGCGAGACATGAGAGTTCCATCATCGACACCTCAGGACAACCAACCTTCGGATTCAAAGGCAGTTTCTTACAACGACACCACCACCACCACGAATCTTATCAACAACAATAACAGTTCAGTAGCTACTGTTACCGCAGGGGGTGGTCTCGGTTTCAACGAGCCAACCTCGGTGCTCGACCTCCGTGGAAGCCCCAGCCCCGCCGCCGCCGCCGCGGATAAGCCTCCGGTTGCCGTTGCGGGGGAGGTATCCGGCGGAGGAGGGACCACCGGTCAAGTATCCGAGCAGTTTCCGTTGGATGAGCATGTGATGCGTTCCATGGATTGGGATTCTATCATGAGGGAACTGGAATTGGATGACGATTCTGCCCCTGCTCTCAAGAGCAGTTTCACCACTGCCGCCATTCCGACACACTACGGCGCCGATTCTCAGCTTCCTAGTTTTCCCGACCAGCTCCACCCAGCGGATTTCGAGTCGTCCGAGGTTTACTTGGGTCATCAGATCGGTGGCGGGCACGGGTTGAATTCTGTGGATGTCTCCGATGGATTCGTCAATGGCGGATTCGATTTCATCGAGGATCTGATCCGAGTCGTGGACTGCGTCGACTCGGACGAGTTACAACTCGCTCAGGTGGTACTGGCACGGCTCAATCAACGGCTGAGATCTCCGTCGGGGAGACCTCTGAAGAGAGCTGCGTTTTACTTCAAGGAAGCTCTCGCGACGGTTCTGTCCGGGTCAACCCGGAACCCGACCCGGTTATCGTCGTGGTCAGATATCGTCCACAGGATTCGGGCCTACAAGGAGTTCTCCGGCATCTCGCCGGTTCCTCTGTTTTCTCATTTCACCGTGAACCAAGCGATCCTCGACTCGCTGAACTGGCAGTCCTCATCTTTGTCGGTGGCGGCCGCATCGACGGCGGTGCCGTTCGTCCATGTGGTGGACTTCGAGATCGGATTCGGCGGTCAGTACGCGTCGCTCATGAGAGAGATCGCCGAGAAATCATCCGTTAGCGGTGGATTTCTGAGAGTCACGGCGGTGGTGCCGGAAAATTACGCCGTCGAGACAAGGCTCGTCAAGGAAAATCTCTCTCTGTTCGCAGCGGATCTGAAAATCCGGTTCCAGATCGAGTTCGTCCTCGTGAGAACCTTCGAGATGCTTTCGTTCAAGGCGATCAGATTCGTGGAGGGAGAGAGGACCGTCGTTCTGCTCTCCCCGACAATTTTCCGCCATCTGTCCGGAATCTCAGGCTTTATTCACGATCTCCGGCGAGTTTCTCCGAAGGTCGTCGTCTTCGTTGACGGAGAGGGATGGACCGAGACTTCCGGAGCCGGATCTTTCCGGCGAGAGTTCGTGGGCGGACTCGAGTTCTACACGATGGTACTGGAGTCGCTCGACGCTGCGGTTCCACCGGGAGAGAGCGCCAAGAAGATCATAGAAGCGTTCATCCTGCAGCCGAGGATCACGGAGGCAGTGGAGGCGGCGGCGGCGAGGAGACATGCCGGAGAGATGACGTGGCGGGAAGCGTTATGCGCGGCGGGGATGAGGCCGATGCCGCTGAGCCAGTTCGCCGACTTCCAAGCCGAGTGTCTACTGGAGAAGGCACACGTGGGAGGGTTCCACGTGGCAAAACGACAGGCCGAGTTGGTGCTTTGCTGGCACGGGAGGGCCCTTGTTGCCACGTCGGCTTGGCGGTTTTAACTAACCGGAAGTCTAGCTTTCTACTTAACCTTTAGGGGGTTGGTTAAATTAACAGAACCGAATTGTATCTATAAAACCCCCGCAACCTTTTCTTAAAGCTGTAAAAGTTTTTTTAGTTGGGACCTTTTGGGGGTGTTTCCTTTTTCTTCAATAAAGAAACAAAAAATATTATTACAAGAAAAACCTCTAAACGAAGTAGAGTCTTTACTCGATCCCAACAAAGTGTGATTTCGGTAATTAATTAACACCTAATCCCTAATTATACAACAACAGTTTGGTGTTTACGAGTCTGTTGGATCCAAACTATTCGTTTTTGCTCCTTTCTTGTTAATTGTTTCCTTTGCCATCCTTAGTAGATCCTAAATTTGCTACACAGCCCCTGTTCCACACAACCTCGTCAACTCATCCTGTAATAACAATAAAAAAATCGGTCAAAATTTAATTACAGCATCTTTTTTTTTTTTACAAAGCTTGTGTTTTTTTGGGTTTTACCTTGATGGAGTTATTTTCAGACTTAAGTCTCTCACATTCCTCAGAGAACCTCTGAAGCTCTTCTCTCAAACCGTGATTCTCACTCGTCAAGCTTTCTACTCTGTGTTGAAGCTGTTCACACTCTGCCTGTTTGGTTTTTTTTCCTTCCAGTGTGTCATTCCAATGGAAGATAACATTAGAGAAACAGCTCGAGATTAGATAGATATGTACATACTTGCTTTCGTAATCTCGATCTCCTTGCGGATTCACGGTTAGATTGCTTCCTTTTCTGCCGCTTGAGCTCTCGTTCATCCTACGAGCGAAAACCCGTGCTGTTAAAATCGAAAAAGGGAAGAAATGTTTTCCTCGATTAGTTACTTTTTTGTCGAATGTAACAGACAAGAGGATGATGATTCGTACTATCCATTGCTCGGACGGAACACCACCACGAGCCGCTAGTGGTGGTGCAGGAACAATGGCATTGGAGGTATTCGGTCTCATCTTTGATGCTCCTTCAGGAGACCATAAGTCCATCCCTATATTCAGATTACTCGAAGGGGCTACTGCCTTCACGGGCACTATACCTTGGACCGTATCAATAATTATACGGGTCAAGAAAAATGAAAAATAAAAGCAGATACCGGAAACCATATTTGGTTTCAGAATCATGAGAAGGGTACCATCTGCCATCGTCTGTTCAGAGCTTCCCTTTCGACTAGAGCCTTTAGCCTGTTGATTGGTGTTCTCATCGTTTCCATCAGACGAATCCTCTGTCTCACTTTCACCACTGAAAAGACAGAATTCATGATAGAGTAAACACTCAACGAAACGAGGTGGATCATTCAACAAACATGTGGAATAGACGACAGCTAATCTAAAACACCTTCGAGACACACCATCGTTGCCTGAACCAGAAGCTGCTCCCTTCTTCTCACCTCCTTCTCCCTTTCCTTTCGAATTCTCCTTCGATTTCTTGGCAGAAGTTTGGTCCTTGACAACATTCTCTGTGTTAGCTGGTGCAGAATTAGGTGCCTACACCAGCAGAACACCGAGAAAAATTTCTCCCGTCATCATATATGAGCAAAAAGTTGAACTGTAACTTAGATCATGTTGTGAAATTATGATTACCATCGGCATACTAGGATGAGCATAGATTCCCCCGGGAGGATACAAAGCTGGGTACGGAACTGGAGTTCCATAAGGTGGCATCATAGGATGCTGAAATCATCGAATTACCCTCGAACTCGTTAAAGAAACTCTCGAATGTTAAAGCTCGACCTTGCTATCCAAATAAATAATCCTCTATTCCCATACCTGGGCACCCCACATGTAAGGGTGAGGACTTGGAGATGCAACAGGCGTCGGGAAAAATGCAGCTGGAGTACCTCCAACTCCATAGTAAGCCTAAACGACGAGCGATACAATCAGCACTTAGCAATAATATGCTATGCTATGCTCTGATAATAATCTGTGACAAAAGTTCTATAAACCTGCACTGAGCTTGACCAGTCAGGGTATGGCACTGAAGGTACTTCCTGCATAGACGAGGTAGATGCATCAAAACGTAATATACAAGCATGAAGATATGTAAAAACGAAGTCATGAACACGTTCTGATACATATCTAATGCATATTCCTACGAGAGAGAGAGAGAGAGAGAGACCTGAGTTGAAGAGGATGGTTTGGAAGACTTAGAAGGCGTGCTTCCCTCACCTGTGCCCATTGGTTGCGAGAGATCGTTTCACTAACGGTAAACAAAGAAAAACACGCCAGCGAATAGAGGATCTACGATACACCTGAAACGATCAAAACCACAAAGAACTCAAATTTCTCCGATTCATACTGAAACGTTCCAAGTAAAGGCTCGGAACTGGACAAGAATCACAAACCCACATCAGCAGGTGTATATCTACCGATTCCTTAATCGGGCAAATGAATACGTGACCAAGAATTCATGTGAGGTCAATTTTTTTTTTTTTGCACAAATCGGGCAAAACCCATCACGACACGTGGCTTTTTCCCCATCACAGCAGGAACCGAGAACTCATTAAAGACAACATGAACTGATAAAGCAAAGAGAGAGACACGACAATACCACAAAAAAAAAAGAGAAACAAAACCAGGGTTTGAAAACAATGTCCATAAGGTGCAGGAAGAGAACAGAAACAAATTCACACGACATAGACAGAACAAAAATCAAGCGCCTTGTTCATGTCATTTATGGTAAATTCTGAAACTGTTGAGCCATAGAAGCGATACGAAAATATTAATATCATGTAAAACAAGATAAATTATCATTTTATACTCATTACCCAAGCTAGATTCCAAATCCCCAGAGAAATTTCAACAAGAAATAGCTATAAAAACTAAACTAACCGGAAAATTTCTGCAAAAGCAGAAACATGAACATATATGCACACATATATACGAATTTCAAGTTCAGCCTATATCTCCGAACCAAACCTCTACTTGTAAAATCGACCTCGAACTACCAACATGCAATTCTCTCTTACACACTTAACACATATATGTGTATAATATGGGCATGCGTGTGAATGTGCGTTCGAGAGAAGATGATTGAAAAAAGGAAAAAAGCAAAAGAACACGGAGACAGACCAGCTCTCATGGCATGAGGTGGAAGTCCAGCTAGGATGCGAGAAATATACATACACAAAAAAGTCCTCCTCCACTTCGACAGATCGTGCGGCCCACAAATTGCGGCGGAAATCGAAGGACAACGAAGCAAAAAAAAAACTCCCAAATAGCTTCTCCGACGGGATTCTCACTGGTTCGATCCTGTCGAGAAAAACAGACGATGAAAAATAAGGGAGAGGATTTGATTCTGCGATCTGCTGTGGCGGAGCATGATAGGGGGAGCCGGAGAAAGGGGGGAAATAATTGGGAATTAGGGTTCGAGGTAGTGACACGTGCGAGTTGTACACGTGTTAATGGATAAGGTTTTGACACGGGAGCTTCGACTGGTGTGACTCATCAAACTTTTGTGGATGTTTTTATTGGGTAATAATAATAATAAAGAATCAATATATATAACATTATAAAATAAAATAAATCTTTTAATTTTACCAAATTAATATTTTAAATATTAAAATATTTTAAATGGATATTTTATATATTAAAATCTTTTAAATAGATATTTTAATTTATAAACTCGATAATAATTCTTAATTTTAATTTTAGTTAGGATATATAAATTAAATATTAATTTTTAATATAAAAAATAAAATTTATATAATCAATGATAATTGTTAATTTAATATGATGGTAATATATAAATTAGATATTAATTATAATATAAAAAATGAATCGTGATTATAATATCTATTAAAATATTTCAATATTTGAAATATTAATTTAAATTATTATAAAATTTGAGATATAAATTAGATAAATTAAAATTTTAAACATTTGTAAAGTTGAGATATTTATATAGGATTTTTTAATAATTATTATTATTAATCCTTTTTTATTGTTTAGTATAATCTAGTTAAACGTTTTTCTAACAAAAATATGGACCGATTTGAGTAGTAGAATACATACTACTGTACTATTGCCTTTCCATCCTAACTCTCTTTTTTCATCTTTTTTTTTAACACAATACATTACAATCTATTATCTGGTTTTGAGTTTTTAAAAATTATGCCAATACCAGGAAAAAATTCTTTTAGTGTTGGGTTTGAGTGACTAAATATTCTGATTTATAAATTTATTAGTTATTATTTTTTTTTACAGGAATAGCTAAACAATGTATAAGATAATTTTAAAAATTATTGAATTATATATTAACAAGGTTAACTAATTGGGCCCAAAAATAGAGCATAACTCGGCGATTTTCCGTGCTCATTTATCACAATGGGCCCATCGCTAGTGAACATATCGTGGGTCTAATAAATTTAATGGGCCTTCTTTGGGCTATGATACAAAGTTCGAACCATTTTTAAATCCGATTTTCCATATAAAATTATAAAACTATGAACTTTGTAAATTTTACCATATTCCCAGATATTTATTGACTTTAAGATTTTTTAAACTTTCATATAAAACTATAAATTTATGAATTTTATAGGAATATCATAAGATTAATAAAGTTTATAATTTTATATATAAGTTATAAAATTCACGATTTTATGTGATTTTTTTTTCAAAGTTTGTAACTTTCTAGACTATTTTTCCTAAAAATAATGTGCAGTGCAATATCTTTGAAATCTTGTCATCTAACATAAGAATTCAAAACAACATATTCGAACGCAAGAGATACAAATATCCTAACATAGCTAAAATTGTGTGTATAGGTCCATTTCATTTATTTATGCATTCCAAATATTGTATAGTTCAATATGAATTATTACATTGTATATGTAAGTTTTGTGCACGTGTTTTTTTTTTTTTTAGGGTTGAGAATTGGCAAAAACAAAAAGGAGAAAAAAAGAGAAGGAAGCTGGTTCCGAAGTTAGGCGACGAGACAGTGAATCTCGCAGTGTTTTTGTGTGCGTGGATCCACGGATAAGGCAGAACACTATCTTGTTCATTTCCGGTAATTATGGATAAGAGTTATCTTTAACAAAAAAAAAGACGACTAACTTTTTAAATTTTATGATTCATCGACTCACCACATGTATACAACCCATTTTATTATTTTTATTATTTTATAATAATATTAATAGTAATAATTTTAATTTTTTTTTTGTGGTGGTGGGGAGGGGAAGGGATGTGGGAATTAAACGAATCGTTTCGTAAGTGCGATACAATTTGCTTCTTTACCCTTTGACGTCCAATTTTGTCTAAATTTCTTCCTTTTTATTGATATGACAACACCAACTCTTGTTTCCCTTTGGAATAAAATGAAATATACATACATACATACATATAGACTATACATATATATATATATACATGAGTAGATGCATGAAATATGTGAAATTAAAGTCTTTGATGGATCTATAGTTCCAAACTTTATGGGAGCTCAAGCACGCTTCCAAAGCACTTGAGAGATTATATTAATAAAGCTATGGAATCTGTCATCTTTTGGATTATTATTATTATCATTATCATTATTATCATTATGTTATTATTGTTAGTTAATTCAATGGTTCCCCAGTAGTCTCTTTTCTTTATAATATTATCAAATGAAAGTAATATATATTGTTTATCTTCGGGTAATATTTATGCATACGTTACATGAGTGTCCGTACGTACGTACAAGTGAATTGGTCCAATCATAAACACCCTATGTTTCGGAAGTTCTGGAGGAAACCGTGTATCTGCACACGTGGCATTTCGTAAGCGTCGGTCCATATAAATACGTGACATGCATTATGTAAAACGAAGAGGCTAATTAACGACAAGAGCGCTAAAATATATAGAAAAGACAGTCAAGCATTACTCCTTGGCTAAGCAATTGCTACTACATCATCATCGGACCCATCGTATATCTACATCTACAAATTACAGATTACGGTCATATATATATATATAACTAATGACAATTATTTTTAGAGTTGCCCTAGTTTAAGAATTATAATAACAATAATAATGATGATGTTATAGTTAATTACAAGTACATAGTCATCCATTCGATGCCCGCGGTATAACCATTTTGCGGCGGGTAGATCAAATCAAAACATGAATCGTCCACTTCGTAATCTCCGAGAAACGGCGCATCGTTGGCTTCGACCGATACAGATGAAGTTGTCGGGCTGTTGCTTGAACCCCCTTCTGCCCTCTCCGCCAACCGCTGGATCTCTCTCTCCGCCTCTTGCAGCTGCTCTTTCAACTCGATAACCTGCAACGATCAATTATTTATTTAACTAATCACCCTTTAATTGGTTATTAGTTTTTGTTTAGTGATCATAGTGGTGTCAAACGGACCAATCCAAACCCGCCAAAAGTTTTGAATTCGGATTCGGATCTAAATTGATATTTGTGTTTAATTAGGAGACTAATCATGTGATTAGAGACAAATAGCTTTGGTGGGCCTACGCATTCCGCAGGCCCAAGCATAAGGCATCCATTTAGTATAATAAAAAAAACGAGGAAAGTGTGTACGGAAACATGTAGTGATCTGAAACACATAACATGATGTACTTTTGTGTTGTGTAATGAGGTGGCATTTTTCTGTTCATTGCAATATTTTTTCGCCCCACTTTCTGTCTCTTTTTTGTTTTGTTTATTTTTTGTTCTCATTTTTTTTTTGCTACGGCTGCTTCACTCATCGGGTTTCTTCGAGCCCTGCGTTCATCACTCGCCATCTTCGTTTTATGTTATAGGAATAAAATTGTAATTACGGAAGTAATTTTCAAGTATATCCGTTTTTTTAATTTACTTATAAAAGATCAATTATAAAATCGACATATTTTTCGTGAAACCTGTCCCTATATTGTAATCTTTTTTTTATGATTTAAAATGTTATAATCTTTTATTTACTCATCCCTCTACCTACATATATATCATTTCGATTCTCACTATATAGTATATACAGAATAAAATTTTGGACCTAATCGAGTTGAATAAAACAAAAAAGAGAGAGAGAGAGAGAGAGAGGGAGAGAGAGGGAACCTCAGATTCGAGACGGCACTTCTCGACAAGGACGTTTTCATGGAGGTCCTTGAGCTTGCTGAACTCGTCTTCGAGCTTCTTGTTCTTAAAACGAGCACGACGGTTCTGAAACCAGACAGCCACTTGACGAGGATCGAGCCCCAATTCCGACGCCAATCTGTCCTTCCTCTCCGACTCGAGCTTGTGTTCGTTGCCAAAGCTCATCTCGAGCATGTTCACTTGCTCTTCACTCAGCTTCCTCTTCCTCATCGTTCCTCCATTGATGCTTCCTTCTCCGTTCGCTTTGTTCTTCCTCCTCCTCCTCCTCCTCCTCGGCTCTCCTGCTTACATAAGGAAAAACCCTTTTAACTAATTCACCCAAAAAAAAAACCATGGTATGAAATGAACAGAAGCCATTCACAGTTTCTTAAAAACGTGTGTACATTCATGTACTATATACGTATATATATGGGTATATATATATATATATGAGTGTGTGTATGTTCATTTCTTGAGCTGGGAGTGGAGAAAGAAATCTGTACAAAGTTAACTCCCGGCCAATTCACAAAACAATACGCGCCTGTATTTGTGTAAGCATAGTAATGAAAGAAGATACAACATAATTTATGATATGGACCGACCTTGTTGAGGAGCAATTTGGGTGAAGGCGCCAGGGTACAACTGAGAGGCGAGCGCCATATGATCATCCATCTCTCTCTCTCTCTCTCTCTCTCTCTCTCTCTCCTGTGGTTTTTGTTTTTGTCTCGCTTTTGCTGTAATGCGAGGAGATGTGTTGGGGGATGAGGATGACTCGTGATATATAAGGAGGGAGGGGAAGGTGTCGTGAGATGAGAACACTTCGTGTTTCTTGATGTGATTATTAATATGTCCTTTTCCTTTTGTGGGCTTCCCCTTCTCCGTAAATTTCAGGATTGCCACTGGACATCGTTATCGTCGAAGTCATGTTATATATATATATATATATATATATATCACTAATTAATCTATAGTTGTTTCGTTTGTGCAAAGACATGACTTTGTTAATGCGGACAATATTATAACTGTATCAAACTCATGTGAATGTGAATGCAACAAATTTACATTTAATGTTTATAAAATTTTATAGTAAAACGTAAGAAGGCAAAACCTACCCCACACTCACATATTTATATATATATACACACCACACACCTTTACTAAACCGCCTCAATTTGCGAATGTTCATATAACTTTTTTGTTTATTTTATTTAAATTATGAGATGGAATTCGAGAATTCAGCCACGATATATATATATATATATAATATGTGTGGGGGGGGGGGCGCACATGCATAGAGAAAAAGATGAACAGTTGACACGCATATATACACACACAAATATTGAGTTGTCGAATGAGGTAATTATAATTTTATTTTGTCTGGAAAAATAAAACCATCTTTATCCAATCTTTTGGATAAGACTTTGTAACAACCCAAGAGAGAAAATCACCCAAAATTAAGGATGTCTTGTTATCGATTTCCTCTTTTGTACTCTCTCTCTCTCCCAAAGTCGTTTGTATTCAATTGATTCTAAAGTTAATCTCTTAAGACCGCTGCACGCACACATCCACCCATACACACGTACATATGATTAGTGGTATAATATATGTAATGTATGTATATATATATATATATGAAAGGAGAGTGTGGGATTATAAGGCTTTCCTGATTAGGCAGTTAATAAATATAAGCAGGGTCATTACGCATTTTAATTATGAACACAGAGCATCATTATTTTGTACAATTCTCTTTCTCTCTCTATATAGATATATAAATTGTGCCCACTATTAGGATCCCAACCTGACCGGGCCACTCCTTCAAATTCGATAAACAAACAGTAACAACATCCAAAAAAGGAATTTGTTTGCCTTTACTTTATAGTAATTTCAATACCCATTTGAATTATTAATCAATTTATACATGCTACGGTCCATGCAATAACATAGCATAAGATACTCCAAATATTCGGTTCTCAAGCGTGAAAAAGTTGAAGTCAAACGCGCGAAGATAGTCAAGAGGCGAATGCGGAAAAATTATTCACCTTGCGGTAAACGAATAATGTTAAACGAGTTCATTTTAAATATGATATATTATATAGTTTTGCGAGTTCCAATAAAATTTATAAAAATAATGTTTTTTCAAGTACAAGGGGACTGTTTGGCATATGAGATTGTGCTGTCCAATGGAGAGGACATTCATCGGTCACATTGTCCCCACCGGCCAATCAAAGCCGTACCCATTCAGCTGCTTGAACGAATAGAATTTGCTTTCGTGGAACAATTTCAATGGACGATTAAAATTTTATTTCAAAACTTTGTATCCTTTTTACTTCTTTTTTTTTTTAATTACGAAGTTGGTACGATTAATTCTGTTTGGTTGCCGAGAAGAAAAAAAGAGAAGCTATAAGAGAGAGGATCTTGGGCGTCGAGAAGAGAAAAAAGATAGAAAATTTTTACGGTGGTTGGAGGGATTTGAGGCGGATAGAGTTGTCGTCATTGTTGACTAATTATGGTTAATTAGGGTTTAGTTAATTATATTTTATTTTTTTTAAATGCATGTGTAAATGTTGATTGATTGTATTATAGATGTGATTCTCGATTTCTGAACCTCTAAATAGGGAAAATTGTTAGAATGAAGTAATCATTTATTTTAAAAATATATACGTTATAAATTTACATATTTCTTGATATAAAGTGTTAATTATTTTTTTTTTCAAACTTCTCCCACATGCATGGTTGTTTTTTGGGCAACCCTTTATAGAAGATTAACATGCATGCTGGTTTTTTTTTTTTGTAATCGTTTCTAAGGGTTTGAATGGAGATGAGTTTTATTTTGGGTTTTTAGTTTTAGTTTTTGGATTTTGGTTTTTAGTTTTTGATTTTTGGCTTTTGGATTCTATAATATTTGAAAACTAAAAAAAAGTAGCTTTTGATTTTTCTTTGATTTTTCCGTTAAAATGGCTTTCCAAGTTTTTAGGAAAAACAATTTTGTGAAAACTTGAATGATAATTTTTTTGGTTTTTAGATTCTAAAAACTCTAAACATTCAAGGCCTAAATTATTAGTTGGATAATTTATTCATAAGATAAACTTTTACATCGATATCAGATGATCGTCCAAATTCATACAATTTATCACACGTGAATTTGTACGAGAATATTGAAAACTATTTCAAGATTAAATACGTATATAGAGTTTACATATGTTATGTATATCTCATAATATTTCTATATGTGAGATATATCTACAATAGGCGTAATTAGTTTCCCAAGTTAACTTCCAAATGTACACGATGATTATGTTATATATGATATCAAATTCATATATTCATGAATTACATATTAAATTAAGAATATATTACATAGATGTCCAAAGAAAACCTATCAATTTCACAACTTATCCAACATAGTAAATATAAAACCGCAAATATATATATATATATGTATATATATATATATATATATATATAAATCTTTAGCTTTTGATATCGTCCACGTGCTTATTTCTTTATCTCGAAGGTGAAGGAGGGAACACAGGAACATTATCGGAGACCGGCAAAAGGCGAAGGAAGAGAAGAGATTGGGCAACGTGGCGAAGAAATATAATAAAAACCCAAGTTTTATATTAATAAGAAATAATATATAGGGTATTATTCGAGGAATTAAAGGGCAATGGAGACTTACTTAGATCGCTCTTTGTCTGTCCTTATTCTCGTAAAATGTCGGCTTTAGGACAGAGACTCGCATACGCAAAACATGTTCGTCCAATCCCATTCACACATCTGCACACTCTCTTCACCTATCACCCACTCGCATGATGTCTCCACACGTTCCGAATCTATTTATTTCGGTGTATCCGTCCACGTAGAAAAACCTTCCCATGCATACGTATAAAAAGATACCTAAAAGTTCCATTTGTATCATTTTCGTTTTTAGAATTCCACGTCCTCATCCCTCAGATGAGTACACCTTTTGCCATGAGATTATGCTTTTATCATAGTTTCATTAGTATTTAGAATACCCCATTACAAAAAAAAATAAAATAATAATAGACGCTTTCCAACGAAATTTTTAATGGATTTATCCGTTCACATTCGAAATCATCAAAAAAGCATATATATATATATATATATATGTATATTTAAGGTTCGAATTCATGCGAATATACTAAATAATCCACAACCCGTACCAAATACCCGTATATATACACACTTCATCTTGAAAAATGAATGAGATTAAGCTCTAAGTTAAAAGAAACGAAAGTTGATTTAGCTTATATTGGAAAGGGTTTCGTATGATTAGATTTTTTTTTTTATTTGTATGTTCTTCTCTCTCTCTAGCACATGGCAGCATATTGTCGTGCGCCACTCTCTTCCTTACTTTTCAATGTGCCTAACCTGTCACCTCGTCAAAATTTTCAAACATGTTTATGAACGTTTGATGATGCGAAAGTGATCGATGAACATACATACATACATACATACATACATACATACATACATACATACATACATACATATACATACGTACATACATACATACATACATACATACATACATACATACATACATACATACATACATACATACATACATACATACATACATACATATGATGTTAGCTTTGATCATATAATCATCGCAGATCATTGTAGATTTGTTACGTCCGTACTACGTACAGATATTTTAATATATTTTTATCATACATTATTAACTTATTATGAGTATGATCATAATTATTCGAAAGAAAAAAGGGTTTCCATATGTCAAACTGCATGTAGCTTGCTTCGAATTTGTAATATATATTTGATTTTAGTTTTTTACCCTACGTACGTTTATAATGGATTACAATGAATTTGGGTTTGTGAACCTTGTATCATATGTTTTTCGTCACGATAGAAGAAAAATATATATATAATCGTAATTCAAGTGTATCTAACTTGTTTTAAAATTTTAATTTTAGTTTATTTAAAAACAATTGTAGTTCTATTTTTTTTGTAAATAACCAAAATATCTTCCAAATAAATTTATTTGGACGAATTGGAGAAATTACCATATATATATATATTATAAAAGACAAGAAGAGGAGCACATGGAATGGAACTATGGAAGGGGTGGCTGGGGACGTGGCAACTCCTCAACCATTTGGTAAGAAGACCACCCCTCTCATTCGGCCACGTGTCTAAAGTGTCTTGGTTCATTGCACCCTTCTCCCTCACCCTGACCCCCTCCTCCCGACCAATCATATTTTTCCCCTTTTTGTTTTTAAAAATTTTTAAATTTCTTTCTTTACTTCTTATCCGTTAACCATAACCATAGCCACCGCATTTTAATCCCACATTTTAACATTTATGTATGTATATAAAAATATGATTTTCCCTTGTAGGAGTATTTCGTAATTTTACTCATCAAACTCCTCTAATCATGGTTTAGTTTTTCCCTTCGATCAAGGGGCACGTATCAAATATTGTCATTTGGTTTGGGTAATACACACACACACACACACACATATATATATATATATCAACCTATATATAATATTATTGGAGAGCGGATTTGAGCTAAATATCATAGTATAAACATGAATTTTGCATGACAGAGAAATCATTTGCATGGAAAAGGAATGGTTGGGTTGGGTTTGGAAGTTATGCCAATACTTATCCACAAAGAAGAGAGAGTTGTTCGTGACATATAACATACAGTCTTATACATATAATGTCGTGACAATCTTGACCACCTTATCTAACGACACTTTCTTTACCAAATTAAGAGAGATAATGAAATCACTTCATCTTTGGAATTTGATGGAATCATATCAAGTGTATATCTACCGATTCCTTAATCGGGCAAATGAATACGTGACCAAGAATTCATGTGAGGTCAATTTTTTTTTTTTTGCACAAATCGGGCAAAACCCATCACGACACGTGGCTTTTTCCCCATCACCTTGTCTGTGGACCCTCTCTCTTTCTCGCAAGTGGGATACAAAATGGGATTTACTTTCACTCGTGACTACTTGACACTTTCGACTCACAAAGTCTTCATCCTTCATGTTCTTTGCGTTGAAATGTTCTATCTGTTGTCGATTCCCTTCTATATTGGGGCTTTCTTTGAAATAATATAACTAATTTTTTAGGCTATTATTATCAACATTTTCAAAGGTCATTTTCACGGTTTTGTTTTTCGTTAATTCAGTTGTTATCCTCAAATTAACGCATTATGGCTTGTTGACAAAAAACTGAAAAATATAAAATATTAAGTTCATTTTAAGAGCCATAGAATGTATTCTAAAATGACAAATCAAATGGCTCCCTCTCTATCGAGTGATAGATTTTCTATCAAACATGTAGATTCAAGTATTTATAAGTTTTAATTTTCCTCTCAAGTGTTTCAAAGGGTCTATATTTAATTAAGAAGAACAGAATGATTAATTAAATAAATATTCTAAAAGATAATGATTGCTGGATTTTATTTATTTATTTATTTTAAAAAAAGAATAATAGGTCCACGCTTGATTAGGTTCTAAGTTATTTTATCTTCCATACGTAAAAGCTTCATGCTTTTGCACGCTTCAGTTGTTTGTATTCGTCTTGGACGTCCGAACATGAAGACTTAAAGGAAAAGTCCCGACCTCTAATTTTGCAACATTTCTATTTTTAGACATTTTCTTACTCGTTAAGCCACATGATGACATCACCATATACAATAATCATTCATGCCATCAATATATATATATATGTAAATCTAACTTGGATAGTTCACCTGTAAAACGGTGACCCAAAACGTCTATCTCGCCCGAGTTCGAACCTCAAATTGGAGAAGGGAGCATAATTCATTTTGTATATATATATACACCAACAAAAATATATGTGAATATATAGAGGAATACATATTGAAAGCTCCGCGTTAGTTTGTCTCGTTGAAGGTTTGAGGATGAGACATTTTATTACCACTAGACTGCAAGGCGATCGACCAAAGACATATTCTTGCTTCTTATTTTTTTACTTATTAATGATTAAAATATCTTCCAATCCAACGGTGGCTATGAGTTTTCACCCGAACTTTGCCGATCATGTGAGAGATATAGTTGGGTTACAGATATGGTGAATTTCCGTATTATAAAAAAAATCTTTAAATTAAATTTGTATATTCGGCAAAAATGAACACTTTATGTAAAAAAAATGACTAGCAATCAACGCAATCCGCTAATTGTTAAACATGATTGTCAATCGGGAGCATATAGGTATTGTATTACAAAGAGAGGTGTGAATTTTGTTATTAAAAAATTGCGAGAAATATTAATTATTTATTATACTATAGTAGATAATAATATTATTATTATTTTAGTTTTGATATACACCGCAATATAAAAGGTTTCCTGTTTATGGGTTCGAGAATTTTGATTTTATTTTGTAGCATTTAATTTTTTTTATGTGAAAAAACACCACATATATATGGCTACAAAATCCTAGACCGACGAAAGATATTTGATACTTTATGAAGAAATACGTTGATATAATAAAAATGTATTAGCGCCCCTTTACCACAAGGATAATATTTTATAGGTCCTATAGTAAAATGGGTATTATATATAATATATGCGATCCAATAAATTGCCACAAAGAGAAATTATCCATATATTTGTGTCGTTGCGTGTGCTCCTCGTCCAATACCTTACTCCTAATTAAAGTTTCCTTTCATAAAATAAAATAAAAAATACATTTGACTTGGTGCGCTTTTCTTTTTTCTGCCACTCGTTGGTTCATGCAATAAAGCATATAATATATATATATATATATATATATATATATATATATATGTGTGTGTGTGTTTTAGACCAAAGTTTCTCATTTAATCCCCTGAGTTAAGCCTTGATTTTGGGCATTAGCTCGAAAGTGTTACCTCTCTGCTCAAATACAATTGCATCAGCATTTATATACATTTTTTTTATCTCAGATTTTGGTAATTAAAAATTTCATGAAATTTCAACCGTCATTCAAGAAGAGACTTGAATTTTTATAAATCCACCTTGTGATGGTCAAGTGGTTGTAGCTCATTGAAAATAGTTGCAGTGTTCTTATCTCAAATCTCATTTTCGAGCAGCGGACGAAGAAGAATGATATAATTTGATTGTAACAAAATTATCTTTCGATTCAGTATAGATATGATTAGATCGAAAACTCAATGAAACAATTTGAATAAACAAACTTGGTTTTTTACCGATAATATTGTTTTTGTTTGTTTAAATTTAACTTGGATAAAATAAGAAAAAGAAAAATATACGTTTAGATACTAAAGAATCACTATATATTAGACTCTTTTTTTATATATATTATTCTAAAAAATTTATAACGTAAGAATCTACATGGATGGACCCATTTACAAGATAATGGGATCACATGTCTCCATTATTTTAATTAAAAACTTTTTTTTTTTTACAAATTTTATAAAATTCTAAGCAAATTATTAAATGCCCTTAATATAATTAAATTTATTCTCACTGTTGCCCCCATTATAAAAATCTATAGGTCCGCTACTATATATATATAATAAATAGGATTTTATTCTCATTTTCATAATCCAATAGTGACTGAGATGAGTTTTTTCTTACTTATAGCGATTATATACGAATCCAATAGAGAATCTGATGTATTATGTTTTATTTGGCACTATAATTAATTTCGATGGATATAAGAATCCCAGTTTATGGTAAATCAAATCTTAACCTAGCTCAAAAATTCTCTATAAGAGGATACAATATTTACGGAGGTAAGAAAGATCATAAAACAGTAAAATTGCAGTCTCTAACTTGTCGCTTTCACTCTTAAAGCAAAAGTGGCTACACATGGATAACTAAAATGATAAATTTATATTGAACGTTCCAAAAAAAATAGTACAATAAACAGTATAGGTGGACGTTCCTAAAAAAAAATACACAATTATTTTATTGGTACGGATTTTAAATTCTATGTTCAATAATAATCAATATAAAACATATATTAAATTTAAATAATACTATTTTTAAATTTAAGTGACAACATTTATATAACTAATATATTCGTAGCACCCACCAACTCTTAGCTATGAACTTGATGAATATATATATAATTAAAAATATGTCGTCCTTCAAAGTCAACGAAAAATGAAAAATAGTTTCGTAGAAGATGGCGATGACAAATCCTGCAAATTGTGAAAATTCAATAGGATCGAAAATAATGACCAGTTCCAAAAAAAAAATAAAAAATAAATAAATAAATACAAATCTAATTTGGGTTTTGAGAATATAGCATATAATAAAAAGGGTTAGATTGCAAATGTTGTTTTCATGAGGTTAGAAGCATGAAATCTTCAGACCAGCTAAGCATAAATATTGGATGCTTAAACAACAATTAAAGATTCCAATGCTTGATTAAGACATTAATCAGCCTTATAATATATTAAATATCACGATTTATAAACGTTAATTATCTACGCAAAAGACGTGGACGGTCAGTGACCGCTCTCACGTGGAATAAAACCGTACTTTCATCTATATATAGAAATCAATACACAGTATAATATTAATATATTCTCTCTCTCTCTTAAATTCCCAACCCAAATCACGATTAGACCTTTAAGCACATGGGTTAGCAACGCTCTTAATCTTGTCATTAGCACATTAATCTCAATATATAAATTTCCATAAATAGCAACGGAACACGTGTCGTGAAGGGTGCGTGGACAAGTGTCCGTTTTAGGTAAGGATTCTCGCTGCGACCAGCTAAAAGGAGTTGTGTTTCTAGATTGCTCTTGGGTTTTGTGTATTTTTAACATTAAAGTTATTTTTAAATCCCTTTTATTTGTTTAATTTATTATTATTATTAATATTTATAATTATTCTTTCTATTTTTGTCCTTGCAGCTTTGCAAGGGATCTTATGTGATTTTGATGGTGGTCCAAGGCATACTTGGCACAACAGAGAAGCTTGGAGTTGATAAATTAATGCGTTTTTAATCAATTGATGAACTACACCATATTATAAAAAAATGTACTTTGTATTATAAAGTTAAACGGTGCGAATATCAAATTAATGCACTTAATTATTTCTTTTTCTTGTCATAAACCAATGGGTAAGATACATATTAGCTGGAAAGAAATGGCCAAATCTAATTAGCTAGATTTATTATTATTTAAAATAAGCTATGGATTAATTATTCTTTTGCAGTTAATGCTCTAGAGTTAAAAATTCCATACACCTTTAACCAATCCTTCAAACCTGACTTCCGAGCAACATTAAGTATTTTTTTTACATAATTTATAATATTATAAGTGTGATTTAGATTCAAATAGCCATTAAAAATTGGATTTATCTACCAATAACCACATAATTAGGCATATATACATATATATATATATATATATACACAGTAGTACAAGTACACATGCTTACAAATAATGGATTGGATTTTTACAAGTGTCCATTTATTTGCCGGAAGGCCCGGAACCACGTATAATGGGCCTTCAAAGCCCAATATAAACTTGTCAGTTTACCTAAAAGTCCATTAGGCCCAATACTTCTGATTGTTTTTCGATAGGCTCAAAAAGGTGAATGCGACGCCGCTTCAGTGGGCCTGGAATTGGACTGCAATCGATCTGAAGCGAGAAACTGGATTACATTAAGATCCACTGATAAACCTTTTATTAACCCCATTTAATTTGCAGATTAATGACGTGATTAATTAGTTAATCAAGTGTGTAAATCAGGTCATCCCCTTCCCGTTCAACGGGATTTGGGTAAAATCATCCATGGGGAAAGGAGGCGGGTGCGTACCCATCAAGAAGAAGAGGCAGGCGCCCCCCTATGGGGAAAGGAGGCGGGTGCGTACCCATCAAGAAGAAGAGGCAGCCGCCCCTCTCCGCCGCCAATGACGGTGACGCCGCTCCGAGTCCGATTGAATTTGATCGGACCACCGGAGACGGCGAACTGGCGACGGCCACCACCACCACCGTGGGAACGAACCCGGCGATTGCGGCTGGGATCCCGCTGAGGATCTTCATCGTCTTCTACTCGATGTACGGGCACGTCGAGAGCTTGGCTAGGAGGATGAAGAAGGGCGTCGATGGCGTCGACGGCGTGGAGGCGACGGTGTACAGAGTGCCGGAGACGCTGCCGACTGAAGTTCTGGAGCAAATGAAGGCGCCGCCGAAGGATTTGGAGATTCCCGAGATAACGTCGGCGGAGCTTGCGGCGGCGGACGGATTTCTATTTGGATTTCCGACGAGGTATGGCTGTATGGCTGCGCAGATGAAGGCTTTCTTCGATTCAACGGGGCAATTATGGAGGGAGCAGACGCTTGCCGGAAACCTGCCGGGTTCTTCGTGAGCACGGGAACGCAGGGTGGGGGCCAGGAGACCACCGCGTAAGCTTCCTATACCGCACTTTATATCGTTGTATTTTTTGTATAATGTTTGTGAAGCTGGATTGGATAGAATTTGGGGTAAAATGGTAGCTTGGATGTGAATGTGAATGACCCTCCATGCGCAAGTTCTTGAGCATTCAACCACTCTTGAGGCCCATTAGTTCTTGAGCTAGAAGACCATGATTTGAAGATTTAGATGATAATTTGGGTTTTTGTGTTGAGGATTGTGGAGGTTGGTGTTGGTGTTGGATTCAGGGGAACATTTCTGTAGCATAAAATCTACTCTAGGCTAGTGCAATGAGAAGGTGGTTGTATCTTTAACTAAAAACTTCCCTGGGATAATGAACGAACTTTATGGTGAACTGCATAGATGAGGTGCTTATTAGACCATTCATTTGGATTGATTCTTCGATGGCATATTATTGGATTTCATCGAGTGGGTTGGTGTCTTTGGTGACGTGAACGTTCTTGCAAATTGGAAGGGCTATTGTTTTATTGTTCTTGGTGTGATTAGATGTAGGCGAGTCGGGTTGTAAATTGGTAATTGTTGGTTTTCATCATTAGCGTGAATATTAGGGGGAAAGATTTACCGGAAACGTAAATTGATCTTTGAAGGATTAGATTCTGGTACCATTCTTATGGGTGGAATTGATTCCAAGCACCTTGATTGCTTGATATTTGTGTGTGTATGTGTTTTCCTCCTTTCTCGGAGGAATGCATCTAGTTGGAGGGCTGCATTCTTGGATTCATCACTTTGGTTGTGCAATAACTTGTTTTCAACATTCTTAGACGCCCTTGCATTGTTTTGCCTCGAGTTTTTTTCTTTTTCCTACCAACGTGGCGTCAAGAACACAGCATAATGGAATCGGCATTGCAATTCAATTAGGGCTAGTGACATATATGCTTCTCTGTCATAAAGTTAACTCCTTTTCCTCACGAAACTCGAATCGTTTATCGACTGCATGTGTGTATATATATAGAGAGTTATGTTCTTGATGCCATGTTGGTTTGGGGTTTTCAGGTGGACAGCAATCACACAGCTTGCACACCATGGAATGCTATTTGTACCAATAGGGTACACATTTGGGGCCGGAATGTTCAAGATGGATTCGATCCGAGGAGGTTCTCCGTATGGGGCAGGTGTCTATGCCAGTGATGGCACTAGACAGCCTACCGAAACAGAGCTGGCTTTTGCCGAGCATCAAGGACAATACATGGCTTCGGTTGTCAAGAGACTTTCCCTGTCTTAAACCTTGGGTTTTTGTTCTTGGCAAAAAAAAAAAGAAAATTGAAAATCTCGTTACTGTGCCAGCAGTCTAGGTTCGGACAAAAAGCCTGCATCTTGGGACAAGACCAGTTCGAGATGATCATATCAAAACTGGGAGCCGATGGTGGGGAAGTATGGATTGACGCGGAGTGGGTTGTGTACATTCTTATGAGTAAAAAAAAAAAATCTTTGTTCTTATTTTTTTTACTCAAAATAAAAATGAAAATCCTAATTGTCGATGGTTTTTCTTCTTGTACAAATGAAAAGGTTGATTTGTGCACGTTATTGGATTCGGTTCAATAAAGGAAGAAAAAGAAAACATGTTGTCCTTGATGGAAAAAGGGGGGTCAGTTGTCATTGAGGAAAATAGGGGGCCTTAAGTGAAAGAACACAGAAAATCAAAGGGCCAAAATTAGAAATATAGTCTTGTTGGAAAGACGACCAATTCTTGAAATCAGTTCTGGAGATTAGCGTAATCGCCATTCCATTTTCTCTCTCTTGAGGCTTCACACAATCCATAGCTCTGGTGTGTAGATTATCTGTCATCTGTTCAAGGATCCACATAAAACAGACTTTCATGTACTGTGAATAATATATTTTATTAAAAAAATTGTAACTTTCGGGGAAATTCATGATCTATATCCCTCATGGTTGCATCATTCATAAGCAAGAATAACAAGTCTTGGGTTATACTCTATATTTGCAGATTTTTGGATTCTGTCCTCATAAGAGATTCTTGTGCTGTGTTCTTGAGATTTTGAACGTTCTTCCTCATCTCTTTCC